GAGAACGGAGCTGGTTTTCCAAAGACCTTCTGAAAATCCGATCTCTGGAATTTTTTCAAAAGTTGCTTCCGCTTGTGAAAAGTTCTGCTCAAGTCTTGGCTATTGAACAGCGAAAATCGCAGGTCTCTATCTTATTCCTATCAAAAGTTATTCAAAAAATGCCCACGGGTCTTGTATTTTGGGATGGATAGTGGTGTCTATCACTCGAAATACGATGGATGAGTATTTTCCTAGACTGTTTTTGAATGACATAGGTTCTGTACCATACAAGATTAATAGACTTCTTGTTTGATGATGAGAAAAAGGCGACTTGTTGATTAATGTACAAAATTTCTATGTATGCTTAAACTATCATCATTATTATTGTAATCTATAATTGAATTATTATGTTAAATTACAAAACTGAATGTGAATAACAATGTTCGGAGAAAAGAATATTTTCAAACTATCTGTACATAATGATGCCACTGTGACAAAATGACTAACAAGAAAAGAAAAAGAAAAAACAACAATTAGATTTATACAAATATTGTGAAGAAAAACAAAAATGGTCAAAGTTTGAAAAATAAAAGAGGCAACAAAATCTATCGTTAGCTATCTTTGTTGTCATCTATATGAGAAATAATAAATTATACAATGAGAATAAGAATAACAAATAAATAGACAATACGCACATGAAAAATGATTTTTACCCTGAAATTTTGAATTGCTTAATTACAAATAAAATTTTTGTCAAAAAAAAAAGAACAAAAAATTCAAACGACGATGCCAGCATCAATCGGAAAAAAATGAGATGAGTTAAAAGAACAGATTAAGGCTTTTAAAAATCACAAATGTAAAATGTAAAAAAATGTTTTAGCATATCTTTTTACGGTAAAAGTAAGATATGATATCGGTATATTGATCGAAATTCAAGAAAAAGTGAATGGAGCTTCTGCTCATTTAGATTACTGTTATTTTTTGAAAAAAAAGAAATTGTTGATGTTCTAAATCAGATAAGTTGAACAATATAAAAAAAGAGTGTTACAATGTTAAGAATGAAAAAACGAATTCATTGAATTCCAAATCCACTTGTTTCTTCAATAGCAATAACCAGTTTACTGTACAACATATCGTACGATGTATACGGTGGTAGATCTAGACGATTGAAACACGTATGTGAACGTGGTAAACTCTCCGCTACACCCCAACGTTCAATACAAAATCTTCTTGGCCCATTACTTCCTCTCAATGCTTGAAAACCTTCATAAGGAATTGATGATGTACCGGTAACAAATTGTAATAATTTTAATCGTTGTTCATTATCAAAACGTTTTTCAACACATAACCAAAACCAGTCGATAACATGATGTTGAAGATGATATCCACCTCTATATTCTGTATATTGTTTCCAATCTTGTATATCAATTTCCATTGTTCCACATAATGCCAATTCTAATTCTCTTGCATCAAACATATTTTGTATTAATTTATAATCACCAATTATCTCATAAAAACCTTTAACAAAATATTCTGTTTGTTCTTGTACACCACGTTTTACTCGCCATTCAACAATTAAATCTAAAAATTCTTTCTTATTTTTTTCTGTTACTAAAATATTTTTACCATCTAATTTTAATTCTTTTTCAATAATTTTACCACAATATTCCTCATTAACATAAAAATATAAATCCATATCAACAACACTATTGTCTTTAATCCATAATAGTGATTGATGAAATTCAGGATCTAAAGATTGTAAATCTGACAAGGTAAAATGTTGATTATCACGTAACAATGCTTTATACAATGGACGAGAAAGAAAAGCATCGACTAAATATTGATTGATGAGTGCAACAGCTAAAAATATAAAAATTGACGAATGATAATTTATAAATAATTTTTACAAAATTTAATAGCGTCATTATTCTCGACTATCAAAAAAAGTTTAAAATAATGATTTACCTAACATTCGTCCACCAAATCGTAGCCATTCTTTATAATTATCATTGAATACCGACATTGGACTTATTTGTAATGTGTACTGATCTGACGCGGAATATTCAAAAAACCCATAATATGGATTAAAAAATTGCCTGGACATTAAGAGAAAGAATTCTCTCGATGGGCCACCATAATCAAGGCCTAGAAGGAAAAAAAGAAATCATTGCTAACTAAATGTTCAAAGAAAAAAAAAAGTGATCTCTCTCTCGTTTTCGTTTTGTGTGTATACCTTCTTCATTTTGAAATGTAATAAATAGTTTATTTCGTTGTAAATCTTTCTTATTTAATTGATTCATAAATTTATTAAATGCATCACTCAATAAATCATTTCTGTTAATAACAACTTTAGTTTTTGTTGGACCTTGACCGTAACCTTTACTTTCTAATTTTTTATAAAATGTACGTAATTTTTGTTGAAAACATTGACGACGAGGTTGATGATGTTCAGCTAATAATGGACGTTTATGTGATATAGATTTTTCAATAAGATTCTGTTGTGTCTGTGATCGATGATTATTACGTGTACGAGAATTTGCTCTTGCTGAAGTTAGACGTGGAGAATGTTCAACAATAAATGTTGATGTATTTATAGATGTGTTTGTCGATGTTGAATGATGATCAAATGTAAACGACGATTGAGAAGAAGATATTGGAGATGGTACGACATAAGACATAATGTCTTCATGAAATACACTAATTAATAAACTAAGATCAATTGCGTTTGATAGATTATCGAGGGCACGTATGCCATCATTTCGAATTAATTGCACTTTATCACGTAATTTTGATGTAAATGGTACAAGCTAAAACAGTAGATATATTTTTAAACGAATAACATTTTGTGTTTAGTCATACTCATACAATGAAAAGAAAAATTACAGTAAATATTATAATTATATTTTCAAACCTGATTAGCTTTGAGTAAGTCGAATATATTTGGTTGTCGAAGATAGGCAACTACTTTTTCATTATAAGACATTGGCATTTGTTGTTCACGTCGTTTAGATGGACGTGAAATATTACTGGCAGAAGCACACGCTTGTAATGTTTGTTGTTGATCTTGTAGACGAACAACTTCCGATGTGTTACTTAGAGACTGTGGCATATTTATACTAGACTCTGTCGGCAAACGAGGATCTATGTACGTTGTACTGCGTGCTGCATGATCAACGAAAAATATTTTTCCACTATCGTCGATCTTATATTCCCATCCAGATGGTAATGACTTACTGGGATCGGCAAATAAATTTAGAAATCGTACCAATTCTTTGTTGTGTTGATATTTTTTAAACATATTTGGATCCGTTCTTATTCTTTGCAAAATATCGGCTAATGATGTTGATTGTATCATTTGTTTAGCTTCTGTACGTGTCTTAATAAAACTATAAAAATCTTGACGACAAAGAAATTTTAACGCTGGAAAAGATTCATCTACTGCTGTTGTTGTTGAAGAAGACGATGCTGACGATGAAAAAGAATCAACTAGAGAGATATCATCAGTACGTTCATTTTCTTGCGTTTTTATCGTAGGTGATGATGTTCGATTTACAGTACGTCGTATGCTCTGATAACGTTTATCCATTCTTTCACGATCAATATGATGAATCGTAGGATTGTTTTTGACGGCATGAATTTGTGATATAGTTTTAGATAACGGTACTGATGGTGGTGGTATATTTTGAGGACGCTGCCATGTAGTAGTCTTCATGACATGATCGATATAGTAACAACGTCCAAACTGATCTGTTCGCGCCTCCCATCCGGCAGGAAGTGAAACTTCAGATGTATCTGTTGATTCTCCATTATTACCAGTCTGTAATTGAACAGAAGATTGAGCTGTCAAGGGTTGCTGTGTTTCAGAAAATTTAGGCAACGGAGTCATAAATGAAGAATCGTTCAATCTAAATACAGATGATATAGAAGTAAAACAAAAAATCAGCACATACATTTTTAGTAGGTAAGTAACACAGTTTGATCATGAACTATTCATTCAGTTGTTTACCTAGCAGTTGTGGACTTCGTACGATTGTTACTGTTTGAATGTCTTAATGATAATGGAAGTTGTGAATTCGTTGTCTTACTCGTTGAATTTGATTCAACGATAAATGAAGAAACAGTCGACGTCGTTGTGGAATTATTATTACTGTTCAATTCAGGCAACAATAGCACTGATGCATTGTTTTCATTTCCTGATGGTATTTGATGATCAGGCTTTTTTGGAGGTAATATTGGCGCAGGTGACTGTCGGTCTGAGTTTCTGTGTGTAGATATGGAGTTCGCTTGCGGTTGTTGAACTTCGTAAGTGCTGACATTTGTTTGCTCAATATTAGTTACTTGTACGTTTGATTGATCAACTGTTGCTGCTACAATCGGTTGAACACTATTACAATCTTTCAGTGGAATACGTTTTTCGATACGCTGGCATTGTCGCTTATGCCATTCCTGAAGTTCTTTTGTTATGAGAACTCTAAAATAGAGTCGCAGAATAAGTAAAATAAATCTGCGCAACTCAAGCTAAAAGTGTGTTACCTTGTTTGTTCTGGAGAAATGGAATCTCTTTCATTAGCAGAGGTGGATGGGTCTTGGCGTCCGTGTAATCGTTGTAGTTCTTTCGCTACTTCACGCAACTCTAAAACAACAAAGAAGATATTAATCGTATTTAAGGGCAACCATTTTCAACAAAGAAGATCATACTGTGCTTTTAGTAGTTAGATAAAACGTTTAAACTTTTATCTGTTAAATCAGAATCTTGTATCTTACGTTTTTTCTTTACTTTTAAATAAAGTGTGGAAATCACATGTAAAAAGATGAATGTTAAATGCAGATATTTAGTGATTGAACGACGCGCTTAGGAAAGAATCTATACCTACCGTTTGCATAGTCATCTCTTTGCTGTATTTCAACCAACATTGGATTCAACAAACTATGAGGATCATATCACATCTATACACAAACTATTAACAACTTTTTGTCGAGGCTTTCACATTAGTGTGCGTGTGTGTAGAGATATGAATGTATACTTGAACATCTTTTCATCTCTCTTTCTCTTTCTCTTTCTCTCTCATCTTGTTATTTTACAATAAATTGCATTGTTGAACTCAAAATTATCAGAGAGATGGCCATCATCAGAGACAGTCTCAACATCTTGTCTTTCTCTCATTTCTTTCTCGTTCTATTGAAATCAAATTTTTTTATATAAAAAAAAGAATGAGAGCAATTCTTTCTAGTATACTCGGTCAATGAATGTCCATCTGTCAAAAAAAAATTCGATTCGCCTACCACACTTGATCTATAAGTAGTAAACATATAGGAACTATCACAACTAGTAGTCATAATGAATAATGCTCTCTCTCTCTCTCTCTCTCTCTCATTTCAGACAAGTAGAATTTTGTTTGCAAACGTATGACACTTGTATGGTATGCAAGGATACACCTTTGACCTGCATATTAAGGACAAAAAAAAGAAACAGTCTAATAGATAAAAAAAGGCAGGAAAAACTGTACAGCAACAACTTTTTTGGTATCAGAAGTGCAACAGCGAATCACAAAAAGAATTTTACTGTTGAATAATTTATTACTCTTTACAATATGTAAACGAACTAAATAGTAGTAAGACTAATTACCCTTTAAGATCGTAGGGAATACAGTTTATCAATGATTAAACAGTCAGCTGTTTGAACTTATCAAAAAGAGTATATTAGACACACTCAAGAACTCCTTTGCTAGATGAACATAACGACAAGATCAGAAAAATTCGTTTAGCAGGCAACAATAATATCCAAATTGAAACTGATTATTCGCACATGTAAACTCAACACATGTATCGAGTTTCATGCTGTACACAACTATATTCTTTAATAATAGATGTAGTCACAGTGGTATACTAATACTCAGTGTTTGAAATTGGGAATTGATAGACAAAATTGGCTACAAACAATTTAGTCTCTACGAAAAAGTTGAACATTTCATTTTTGTGAGCTCTAGACTACAAGATAGCCGCGTGGGAAAAACTTTTAATGTCTTAAATTGTTTTGATTTTCACAAAACCATGCAGTTTAAATAGGGCTGCAAACGTTCAGCGCTCCTTTTTAGCGTTTACTTTGAATGTGAACGCTAAAGCACGTTGCCGCTGAACGGGAACGCTAAGTATGACGTTCTGGTGAATGGGAACTTTATTTATATGATGAGGTGTTGATCTTATGCGGAATGAATAGTATTGCAAAACGTTATATAGCAATTTCAGCTAGTAGTAGCATACCAAGTGAAACAGCTTTCTACATTGCCAATTCTATTTAGTGAGAAATTAACGCTCATTAGCTTCGGAATGGGTTACGATAACAAAGGAAAAAGTATGTAGTTACGGAAATGGGACCAAGGAATCTCGGTTCCACTGTAGAAAAAACTAGTCTCCTGGTCAGGAAATCGGCGATTTGCTCGTAGAAGAATCAACCTTGTTCAGAGAATCAATACTATCCTTTTTACATTGCAATAATCTGGTCACTGCCCTAAGCAGACCATATGATCGTTCACCACAGTTTCTATTGATCAGATAAGACCAAGCAGAAATATATATCTCCTTACTATAGTACAAGAACAGAATTTTATATTTACTTCAGACGTTCGTATAAAAAAAGCTCACGTTCACCAGTGCTCTAGTGTTCACGTTCAAGGAACGAAACGTGAACTTTTACAGGCCTAGATTTAAAACATCAAGATATTAGTTGAAATATGTTGTTCAAAGTCCATTCGTTTTTTCTATAGAATTTCATTATTCATCGGTATCCGTTGTGACTATAATAGCTTTTCATAAGGGGCTCCAAATTAAAATTAAATCAAATTTTTGAGTGATGTGAATGTTCTGCCTTCCATTTAACATTTTATAACTGTTTAATCCACTGTTTCTACTATTCATTTAGTAAGAATTGAAAATGAATTCAAACTACTTTACAATATCAAGATATGCCGCATTTTCTCTACTAAATCTGATGCTATACTTAAGATTACTAAAAAATATTTTGTTATTCCTGAAGACTTCTAGAAAACTGTTACAAAAGCAAAGGATTTTCTATCAGTTTTCCAAAATTCTATGGGACCCGATTGTATAATGCAGAGAAAATGCAGTATATTTTGTTCATTATATTGGGTTCATTTTCAGTGATTTTCTAATTTTTAATTTTCGATGAAAATAGCCAAAAATGTGTTGTTTCACACACTGTAAGTTTTCACAAAAATTATTGAATCTTGACGTTCTACTCTTTGAACGATTAACAAGCTACATCACCTGCAAGTGTCGCTGACAACTCAATTTTTTCATAGACTTTTACGTTCCCCGACTTCTACTCTCAGAAACTGAAAACCGCAACTATTCGACTCCTCTCGTCCAATAGTTATCCAAAAAACAATGAATCACACTGTATTTTGAAAATAGATAGTAAATAGTTTTTTTTGAGAGAAATCCTGATCAAATTTGATTCATATCATATTTAATATTCGAAGAACTTTTAACTAGAACTTTTTCTTACATGATAATATAAAGCCTTCTTCCTTCAATATTACTCTGGCAATTGATCATACTCTGTTGCCTATTATTAGACAGTAAGAGTTTATTTGGAAAATAGTAATCGAATTTTTACTAGTGTGTCATTTAATTTTGATGGAAAAATTAAAATTAACCTTATCAGTAAGAAAATTAGCTGTTATTACACTTTAACAATTCTTAAGAAAAAATCTGTCATGACATGTTTATAGAGAATAAAACTGGCAAAAAAGTTTTTTTATAATTACTTTTGTTTGATTACTTTTTTAGTCGTAAAATCTTTCAATAAATGAAATTTTATCTTATGTAACATATGCTGTTAAAAATAGGAAAAATAACAGTCCATTTTACTTAATCATTTCCATGTTTAATTAATTACAGACAATGGAAATTAGTGTAGAACATGATCTTTTGTTTCAATATTTAGAGCATAAAAGATAGATAGATAGATATTTCTTATGACAATTGATACAAAGTGTCTTTATCTACTTTGAATCAGCGTTATAAAATATGTGTACCAGCATCGAAATTTACAGCGTAACTAATAGACGCACATTACCTCAAAAAATGACGTAATACTATGCTCATTGCAATTACAAAGATAAATATTTTGATTATGTAGATAATTAAGATTATGAAAAACAAATCTTAATTAATTAATTGGATACTTACCACGCGATATGGATCGAACAGTTTCATCAGTAAATGTATTATTATTGGTATTATTAACACAAATCACTGCTTTTGTTTTGAATAAATTTGATTCTGAACCACCGACAGCACCGATAGATCGTTTATTTCCTGATATAATTTGATTATTAATAACTTTTTTATCATCAGACTGTTGTTGTGATAATGGATAATGATTTACGGGAAATTGTAATGTACGATAGGGAGTTGTTAAAATTGGATTAGTTTTATTCGATGTCAATGATTGATTTTCATTTTTTATAATCATATACGTTGACTCAAGTTGTTGTTGTTGTTGTTGTTTTAATACTGTTTCTGAACGACAAAGTTTTAGGGATGTTTTATTATGTATAAAATCGGATTGACTACTTCCATTTTGATTTAATCCTGTTTCTTCTAACACTTCATTCGTCTTCTTTCGTCTTTTTATTCTCTTAAAACAATCGTCAAGGTCTTGTTTGATACTGTTGCCATTACTAGTAGTAGCAGTAATAGTAGTAATAGTAGTATTGATATCATTATTTAGTTGCTTTCTATTCTCTTCATTTTGTTCTTCTCTATGTTGAGAAAGATGATCATCAGTATGTTGTCTTTGTCTTCGTATTGAATGTAAATGGGTGTTGGTATTAAAGTCATGTAAAACATTATCTAAGAAAAGATACATAAAAAATATGTAGTTAATGCCATGTCAGACATATTTTAAGTTGAAAGAGAGACAAAAAAAATGGTTGTTGTGCTAACAGCTCATATCCAAAATGAATAAAGAAATATAATACTTTGATGACAAATATCAGTGAACCCTATTCTTCTTATATAGACAGAGGGAAGGAGAGAGGGAAGAAAAAATCAATTGATTATACAGTTAACACATCATGCGTAATGTAAACAGGATGAATCGAGGGAAACGATTTACGATCGACAAAACTAATTAAGCAGAAAAAAAAAATGAAACTATCCAGACAAAAAGCCTGCACATACTATACGCAAACTTATAAAATTCAAAATATCATCTAGAATTAATAGACTTTTTTTTGTATCAAAGTATAATAAGATCGTCCTATAACTTTTCAATTAGCTATTTCTAGAAATAATAAAACATGATAATATTGCATTCTGTTGTTTATTTAACGTTATGTTATGTTACTTTATGTTCAAGATCATATCAGTTGCCTCTAAAATATCTTTTAATTTCTGTCAGATATCCTTTCTGAAAAAAGTTGTTTATGGTTGTATAATCTGCGTTTTAACACTTGTCACGGAATAAAAAAGAGGAAAAACGATATGATCATAACTTATTCGTATATAAACAGAAGCAACAAGAAATCATGAAGGAAATAAACATTCTATTATAGGGTTACTAATTATTACAACATCATCTTACATTATTATACTTTTAAGAATCAATAATTTCATAGCTACAAGAGTCTATAATATCAGACGCAAACAAATATATCGTTTCTAATCAAAATGAATCTCACCTGTTAAGGATGGTGTACGTTCGTCAATAGAATGAGACGATATGAATTGTTGATCGTTATCAAATGATTCTGGTCTCAGTGATTTTTCATACGAAAATTGTTCATCATTCATTGTATGAAGAAATGGTGTTGTCGCAGATAAACTCATGGTATTTGAATTTAATGACAATGTAGATTGAGGAAGTGTTCCCTTCAAAATAGATGGTGATACGGATGATGAAAGATCTTTAACGATAGGAGATGGTCGAGATGGCAATATCTGAAATAAATTTGATAGATTCTTGTATTTAATTGATCTTTTATTCATGCAAAGTTCTTACTATTAAACTATCTGAAGTGCTGTTGATATCATCTGAATTTGAATCTACGACAATTTGATTATCGTCAATGACATCGTCTAAAATGAATATCAAATAACTTGTATATATATATATACTGTTTGTTTTTTTGTAAAAGACAGAAAGTATCACACTTTTGATTTTATTCACACTATAATAATGTGACTAGAATTAAGAGTTTACATTGTGAGGAAGTTTGGAGAATGATAAATAATTTTCCAGACAGCGAAATTTTGAAAACTCATATAGAGAAGTTTACGCCCCTTTACAGAAGACATTATTCATCCAGAACAACTCCAGACCTGTCGCTCATTACTAATGTCAAAGCAATCGATTTTCTAACACAATTCAGTCATATAATCAATATAGTCTTTTTAAATACATGAATGAACATTTTAAACTTTCTTCTTGATTTAAAACTCGTATATTTTTAAAGTTTTGAATGAAAACTTTCGATTGTTAACAGTACTCATCATACTGTTCAAAAGATGAAAGTAAGTCTTTATCACTGGAAATAACGAAATTTTTCTTACTTTCATTAATAACACTAGGTTCTTCCGATTCATTTAACATATTGACTGAATCATCATTACTAATTTCATTTTGTTCTTCTACTTGATCCACCATAGGACTGATAATACTGAGTGATGTTATATTTGTGGTTGTTGGTACTGGAATATCTTCAAATAAGAAAATAATGTTGAAAAATATCTTGTCATAAGTAAAATAATTATTCTTTTTCACTTACCATGTACAAACGCAACATTGAACATTAATTGTCCACTAACATGATCGGAAAAATTTCGTCGTTGTAAATTAAACACAAATGTTGATGAACTAAATGAAAGAATAAGTTAAATTTTGAATATAAATTGAAATTTGTTCGAATCTAGTATTCTTACTTTTTATTCAATTTATCAAAAATAAAGCCAACAGGAACAGTTAACTTGCCTAAAAATCGATTCACTGTTGGACGTGTTTTGACAAATTTATCTTAAAAATAAAAAACAAAACTATTTTTCTAAAAATCAAAATATTCATTTTCTTTCTTGCTTATTTACCTTTTACTTCAAATTCGAATAGATCTGTGCCGTATGTTTGAAATAAAAATGATTGATTATACCATTTTGGTTGACAAGTATTAGATATCACATTTGTACGACACTCTTGATTGTAATGAGACGTTCTCATTTTACTCGAGCGACCAGCAATCAATGAAACTTTGATGTAGGGATCAGGTTTAAATAATACACCTCGACGAAGATTTGTTGCATGTAAATCTAAAAAAATCATAAATGTAAGAAGAACATGTATTTAACGTTTTGTTGAAAAAAAAATATATATATATATAAATACCATAAATTTTTAAAGGAATTGGATGAGAAATATCGTTGATTAACGTTGTATTTATTCCTGTCTGTATCAGTTCATTTATTATTGGAATAGGTTTAGATTGCACTTTAATTTCTCCCGTACTTGCGTTAAAATATTGAAATATAACTGTATTGTCTAAATAAAAAATAAAACAAATCACAATTAATTTTTCTTATTAAATATTATGATAAAACATTTTTAATTAAAATAAAATATGTTGATTTACATTGTAAAAGCTTTTCTCGTATGGTATTAAAATGCCAATGATATTGTCCAATCTTGATTGCATTTAGATTTTGAAATATATGATCAATAGCATCAGATAAATTTAAATTCTCTAAATAAAACAAATATATTCATAGTTAATAATATTTCTTCTTCTTTTTTTATCATTTACCAGTATTAAATATGCCAATTGTATCACTGACCGATGTTTCATCAACAATTTTCCATGATAATGTGACTGCTGATTGATTTGTTAAACGAATTTCTGATGGTGATATGTTTAAAAACGATATTTCACCATTTGTTGATATTGGGAGTGCTTTTGTAATTATCGTTGAAAAACTATTTAAATTATACAATTCACTATTTTCTTCTTCATTTGTCGGCATTGTTATTATTGTCGATGAAACGTACAATGTATGATTGTAATGATTTTTGACACAATTTATTGTAATACATGTTCTGCCGTTTCTCACAACATAGTACGTCAATGGATGTGAAGCATTTACACATACTGCTACACATTGAACTCTAGAGTTAAAAAATAAATTCTATTTCATTTTTAGAAATTATCAAATCATCTGTAAAAAAAACAAAAAGAATTGAAAAATTCATCCAAGACAAGATAACACAATGTTCCTTGTTTTACTTCTCAAATGTACCAGTATTTTTAATGACAAAGTATAACTATGTAAAACAAGATGTACACGTTGTTAGACAAAGTTATAAGACTGAAAGTATACAATGTTATTTAACACATCTACAAAGGAGAGAGGTGTATATTTATGTTGGTTATCTCTATTTTTTAAAAAATCAATAGACAAATGTTAAGCTTATCTGGTTGCATTCATTTATTAAATTAAAACGACAACAATTGTCCCGTTAGATCAAGATTATAAAAATGTTTTTATATTATAGTGTATATTTAATCGTTAAATGTAGATTTCTCCATCCAATCTTATTCAATCAAATGATCGTTTGTGACTAACGAGTAATACATTAGATTATTTATTAAAATATACGGTTATCATTAGAAGATGAACAGTTTGAGATCAATCAATCATAAAACTAGGTAAGGTCATAATTATTCATTCAGAATTTATTATATAAAATTGCTTATATTCAATAAATTTGTTAAAAACATATAAAGAAGTAAAAAAATCTAATATTAGTCATTTTTCTAATGATATTTTCTTTCATTACGAGTGCTAATTGTTACCAAATAATTGAACAATCTTTCGATTTATATTAATGATTCTAAATATAATTATCGATAGAATAGAACAAAACTAATAATTATGCACTAACACGATAAATTCGACCAGAATCAATAATAACAAAAGAAAATGATCAACAACTTATCTTAGTAATTCACCTAAACCAAAAAAATAAATTAAAAAGTCAAAGGCGTATAAAATCAATATTTTCATCAATACCAAGTTTTGTGATTAATCGTAAGATGATATATGTATTGAATACAATTGACTATTCTATTTATTCACCCACATGGTTCTTTGAAGAATATATAGATATTTATACAAAATATAACACTAAGAACTTCAACAACAACCATATAAAAAATATAGAATATGTACAGTAGTAGAAATTTGTTTTATCTTCTTTTTACACAGTATTTTTACAAAATTATTTAACGATTATATTTATGTGAACAATTAGAATAATAAATTATTAAACATAAATTATGGTTTATTTTTCTATGTAAATAAAATTGTTTTGATAAATTATTTTGATTTGTGTTTGTAATAAAACACAAAATAGCAGCAAAGCAATTATACTATATTACTAGAATGACCTTTTTAGGATATTCCTACTCTGTGTGCACCTGTGTATCCGTGGGTATACAATAATACACTTTCAGAAATAGAATACATGCGCACATCGTGGTGCAAAATATTTTTTTAATTGTGAAAAAATCGAACGAGAAATATTAAGATTGTCAATCATACAAAATTGCTTTTTAAATGATTTTGTTTCTTTTTGTCCTTGCTGTTTATGTGCTACAGGTTAGCTTACGTTGGTTCTGTACTAGTAAAAATATCTCATATTTTATGGATACGACGAAGAACTAGTCATTGACAACGATAAAGAAAAACATTAATGCATAATTTGTAGGGTAGTGCGCCACCTACACAAAAAAACATACAGAGGCCTTTTTACGATTTTAACTGGTTAGCAGCTTTCAACGAACGAAATGCCACAAACCTTCATTTATACATTCTTTAGTTATCTTTATTGTGCTTTTGATGATCGTTGTTCCTCTTTAGCTCCAAATAGCAGCTCTAAGGAGAGTGTCTACGTCAAGTCGCATTCATCCTGGCTCCTTGGAGCTACTAGTTGAAACTAAAGGGGAACAACGGATGATGATGTGTACAGATATTTACAAGATGATGAAAATGAGAAATTAAAGCTTAAGAGTTTTGAGCCTGTTTCTCAAAAAAGCTTGAGTTAAACAGAGGTTATGCAGTAAGAATCACTCATATTTTAACAAGTTTAGATTGCTTTTATTAAATTTTATGAACAAAATCCGCCTAAAAGTCAAACTTTTCACTTAAGTAAAACTTACGCTTTAGAACAGGCTCCTGTCCAGTAACGCAAGCCAGGGGCAAGTTTATTTTTAGGTTGAAGAAAATACTTTTCTCGAAACGAAGTGTTGCTCTTTTCAAATCTGTTAGTACGTAGTTAAAAAAGCGCAAGGTAGTTTCAGATATTTCGAATGATAAAAAAATATCTCGTTTCATTTATTGAGGAGTAAGTGAAAGGTTCTTACTAGTCCGCATATCATGGATTGTGAGAAATCCAAAATCATTTCATATTTTTTCTTCTGTTTCATTTAAATCTTTCCATATACAAAAATTAAAGTTTTTTCACGATATGAAGAAACGACCAAGAAAGTTCATACGCCGATGTGTGCACTCTGTGCTAAAAAATCGTGTTCACGCTCGGAGTAGATTAAAAGCAAGCGTGAAAAAACGTAGTTACGACACATTTTGGTATTTGAATTCACATCACATGCACTCATGAGCATGCTTGTATAAAGAAATTAATATAATTAGATTACCGAAAGAGAGTATTGTTTTCAATGGTATTCACAGTCTCTCTCATCAATATTTCTTGAGCTATAGAAAGAGGGTTAATGAGACAAAGAGTCTTGAAGCAGCGAAAAACTTCAATAAAATAAAATAATATATTCATATGAACGGCTAGTGATCACAAATTAAAAGTTTTAACGAACATCATCCGTGAAAGCTTCCATACACGCGTGAAGTTTTTACCAGTATTTATGTGTTTTCTTAGACACGCGCTAATAAATGTGATGAGCAAAACGCGTGAACACTCGTTCTTACTGTTCACGGGTGGAAACTGGTAAAAATTTCATGCGTTGCCTCCCTTGAATGGCTAGAGTCGATGATTACAAATGAAAAATTTTATACGTTAACAGTAGTGCAAAAGGTTCACGAGTGAAAACGCGTTATTTTCAGATTTTTACGAATTTTTGCTTTCGTTTTCTTCTCATACTGATTATTCTGAATGCTAAGAAAAACTTTTGTTTTAGATATTTCCCGATAGTCACAAATGTCCATTTTCTTTGGAAATGTGCTTGATTTATGCCAATCATTGCTAATGTGTTTTCTACCGGATGAATCATTGGGTAGAAAATATCCATAATTATTTTAACCAAAACTGCAGTGAAACACGCCTGTATTACATATTAATGAGTTGATGATACAATACTTAAATAGAAAAAAATAAAGTGATCATAACGAACAGGGGCGGCAGAATGGTTTGAAAGTTGTGGGGGCGGATTTTTTTTTTCCTGTAAAATCAACGAAAACTATGAGAGTATTTTTACATTATCTCACAACCTAGTACCTAATGCCTCTAGTGCTGTGGGGGCGACGCCCCCATTGCTCCTATGATTCCGCCGTCTCTGATTTAACAAAGAACCTACCTCTAAGAAACTCAGAATAGAAGAATCAACAAAAATAATCTTTCATGTTATATCTCAAAACGCTTAAAACATAATCCAGATGTATTTTAAAAAATTTATCTTGTTATAAAATTTTGTTATTGCTATAGAGCTTCCTTTTGTCGATTTCTATTTCTTCGATTCTATACTTTTTCTTAAAACTAGCAGTTCTCCTGCCAAACAGAAAAGTCAGTTTAGCCAATTTTTTCACTTCATCGTGTGATAACGGAAATTTAGTCCAAAAAAGGTTTACTAGCGTTACAATTTTTTAAAAATTTTACATTTTCTGGTTGTCGTAACTCGCTGAATGGTAACAATGTTCTAAAGCGAAGCCAGTCGTTGATTTCGTTGCTGTTCAAACTTAAAGAGGCTGTATGTCGTGCGACAAAGAACCGTTCGTTTGATATCATTTATAATACTGGTGGGAAAGAGAGAAGACCTTGAAATAACACTATTGAAGTAAGAAAAGAAAAAATAGTGTTTTGTTTATTATCTGCTCTTATCATTATCAACAAAGAAAAAGAATATAGAATATAGAATTTAATACTCGTTGTTTATGTATCAGACTATGAGAGTGCCCAACTATATCTATTAGCTATTAGTGACATTAATCAATAATGTATTGTGACATTCGTATTTAGCTGTAGATCTAATTTAAGGCATGTATAAAATAATCTAAGTTGACAGTTTAAACCAATAGTAGGTCGAAAGTTCTAATATGAATTTTCTTATGGATTTAAATATTTTCTTTTCTGATGTAGTTGAACGTCATTTAAGCTTTTTTCTGAGAAACAGATACAGAAAATAACGAAAACTTTCCGGTATACTTTATACATATTTAGATATGTGTAAGATTAAAAGATAAAGAATGAATTGCTGGCTTACTGAAGAATCTAATCGCAACCCACTAGAGCTGTTATTGTAAAATACTTGTACTTTTTATATCTTTCAGATCAGTTCGATCCTGTAGAGTAATATCCTTCCTATTCTATTTTTCGAAAAAATAATTCACCGTTTTTATCTGTAGTTTATTGAATTATCACATGGATTAAGCGTCAAAAAATCATTTCGTATATATAACTCATTTTTTCCTTTCAATTTGAATGATTAATTCGAACTTATTTAACAAGTGAACATGGTTAATAAATTAGCAATTATTTTGGGTAAGACGAATTTCACTGTTCTCAGTAATTTTAAGAAGAATCTTGTATGCGCAGTCGCAGTTAGTTTCCTTTGATTGTGATTTTATAGGGAGACGACTCCAGGAACGTTTCTGAGTTGCTGGGGTGAACTGCAGATCGTCACGGTGTTTGCGCCCGTAGGACATCGCTTGTGCGTTAGGTGTCTCTGGCATTAGGTCGAGCATCCCGCTAGATCCTACTGAACTCCTCACTCAGGCCAAAAGCGTAGTTCCATTGTAATTAAAGAGGCGAATCGACTTGGCACCCAGGCTCCTGAGAAGGTTAGGCATGGATCTTTCAGTTTTCTAGGACAGATATTCCGATATCAGAAGTGGTTGGATTATAGCAGTACTCTATTGACCCCATCTTTGGGGGTTTTGCCTCTTACTGTAATCAATAAAAAGAAATAACTTCACAGATACATCATATATATATTACCGTAGATGAGTTGTTTTTTGGAAACAATGACCATATCCTGCAGCATTCAAACCTTCATTCTTAGCTGCTTCGTTGAGAATACTGATTTTAGATACTCTTGTTTGTCTTTTCTAGGTATTGGAATTCCTGGTATTTTTATATTAATTGGTCTTATCGGTTACTTGATTAAATTTTTTGTAAAACGTTGTAGAAAGAAGGCGTGGATCGAAATAACATCGGCTCCAAAACTGAGTAGTAAAAAAGCTGGCACTGATCGAGAGCCATTACAACGGACAAATGGTAGTTTAGAAAATTCAATGGCATCTCAGACTCCTAGTGAACAACAAGATAGTATTCCTAAACATATCGTAATACCAATGGATCGATCAGATTTAACACCAGCGCAATTACAACAACAACGCGATCAAGATCATACACTTGGCGATATTACACGAGCACGTTTAAATCGCAAGAAGGAAGAAGAATTGCAGAATCGCCAATCGATTAATCCTAGTCCAGCAGATGGTATACAAAACGCAATCGCTGAAACAATGAAAGAATTTGATGCATCGGTATGAGAATTAAAGAAAAATAAATCTTTATTTTTCTTGTTTATGCGAATAAAATCACTTAATGTAGGAGGACTTGTTATTCGCCGAGCTGTATCTGATCTAGTCTTTTGAATGAGTGAGAGATGGGAGGAGATGATTATGCCCGAGCCTCGGTTGTAGTTATGATAGTGCATTCGTCATTGCATCAAAATGGGCGCCATGTTATGCATTCTCCTACGGGTAAGAAATAAAAGAAGGAAGTCATTTTTTTATACAAGTTAACTAACATTATCGGTGAGAGATTCCTGATAGAACTAACGTCGTTTTCTTTTTCTGTAATCTATCTGTATTTTTGCATTAGAGAGTTGCTGAAAACTTATTTTTGTTACGTGCTGTTGTAACTGCTTCTGCTATTGGTGATACTCTTTCATTTCTCTAACAGAAAAACTTATTCAACCCTTTTCGGCCGGTTATTTATGAAATACAACAAAAAATGTCACCATATGGTAACATCCGGCTGGAAAGGGTTAAACAATCAAATCAAACATCTTTACTTTTACTTTTGTTGTTATACTAGTATTTTTATTCAATTTTTTCCATTTTTCTATTGAATATTTTAGTTGAATCCAAATCGTTCAACAGAACTAAAGAAAACACCAAAAAACACAAGACACAAGTAATTCATGTTGTATGAATAGATTCTTGATTTCATCTATACGCATATTTCATCTACCAAACCCAAAAAATGGCTCAACTAGTTTTTTCGATTATTTATTGTTAATTTGTTAAAAAAATATTCTTGTTATCTTTTTTTTTGTACTCATCTGAGCTTTCATTAATTATATCCTTCATTGATTCTATTTCGATAGAATGAAGTACATTTATTTCGGTCCGGTTGAAGTATGATATTTCGTAACGGTTGTTTCTCTGTCTTCTTATTTTCATTCTGATAAAACAGCTAGTTTCAAATGTGCGTATGTGGTGTTTGTTTTTTGTTTTTTACCTAGTCATGCACAAAACACAGAGTCAAAGGTCTAGAATGTTATTGATTTCATTTTTCTTTAATCTATCCTATTATATATGTTTTACCTAGCTGTTTGCTAGTCTCGTAGTATGATGTCCAAATTAAGAGAATGGAGGTATTTTCGAAACATTGGTTTTTTTTTTTATATCAAACTTTTTTTGTCTTATTCTTTTTTGTTACTTTGTGTGCGTATTGAACATAAACTTACAAAATAATTCAGTGGAATTTCAATGAAATAAAAAAAAAAGAGAGAAATTATTTACAGAATGTTTTCTAAATTATTCTAATTGTTTCTGATATTAACCTCTTACCAGTTCATTTCCTTGACTTTCAAATATCTGATACTTTCAGTCTGAAGGTCAAATCAATCAGTTAGGTATTTCTTCTTTTTTTTTATTCCCTAATGTATTATTTATCTTCAACTCTTCATGATATTGTATAAATTTTGAAATGTTTTTATGAGTTCATGCATAGAAGGAAAAGCAAATACTAGAAGAAGAAAAAAATGTTTAAGTACTCATAATATAAAGGTTAATATTTATTACATAAAACGATCGTACACCATTTTGCTAATGAAAAATTTATCCTATTTCTGAGTAAGATGACATCTATCTTCTCTCCAATTCTAAACATATATAATTTTAGTTCTGTTTGTCTAACAATGAACTCATGGACGAGCTTCAAAAATATAATAATAAATTAGTATATTCAAAATTATAGAAAAAAATTTAAGTAAAATCATTTTATATACAAACAGCGAGCTTTCGACACTATCACAGTATCATCATCAGGCGAATGACTTTTATTTCTCTTCTCTCTCAAAAGTCATTCGCCTGCTGATGATACTGTGATAGTGGCGAAAACTCGCTGTTTGTATATAAAATGATTTTACTTAAATTTTTTTCTATAATTTTGAATATACTATGTTTCATTAAAAACGTAAAAAAGTCAAAAAGCATCAATATATAATAATAAATCGTGAGTTATTGTTTCAAATAAGTTTAATTTTCAAGCAAAGTTTGATTTAAAATTTTATTGCAAAATAATTGTAGAAACTGTAAGAATTCGATTAATTTTATTTCATGAAATCTATTTTAGTAACTACAAGTCCGAGCTAGACCAAATTTTTATGGAATGTTGACCATGTCAAAATATGTTGACAAAATTTTATTTTTGGATCGATTTGTCTGTGTTCGCATGATGTGACCATAACAAAAGTCACAATGGAACAGTTAACGTTTCCCGAAGTTCTCACTCAGTTACGAAATGCAATGTCTCACAGAATTGTACAATGTCGTATTTTCACAAGAAAAATGTTTATTGTAAAAATCTACACTTTAAGAAAAATTCTAATTGGGTAGGTAGGTATTCAGGAAAAAATTGTGGTTTTAAAAAAGATTTTGTTTTTCAAAGCTCCAAAAACTGTTATCTAAATACTATGAAAAATCATTTCTAGGACAGAAAGCTATACAGATGCTGAAAATGCACACTCTAGTCTGTAATAATACAAGTTATTTACGAAAGACGATATTCCAAATACTACTAAATACATTTCGACAATTTATAATAATCTTCAATGTATAACCGATAAAAATTAGAAGACAATTTCTAATGATAGCTTTATATCCAGTGTAGTGCAACATTCTTGTACTTTGTAAAGAGGCTTGAACAGCTTCAAATCCACGTTTAAACATTTTTTCTTCATAGTGAACAATTGTATTACTCCAGTTAGAATTTAATAATGCAATAGATAGATCAAAAGCATCAGCAAACGCTACGTTAGCTCCCATTCCTCGATGTGTTGTCAATGGATGTGCAGCATCACCTAATAAAATCACTCTACCGCGCTGTTCGGTAAGAACGGATTTGTCTTACGTGGCTTTGCAGAGTGCATGTATTTTGGGCCTAAATAGTGATTTAATGGTGTCTGTTTTAAAAGGTCCGTTATTTCGTTATGATCAAAATATTTTTGTGATTTGTCAATTACACGACTACTTAACGTTTCTTCGGCTGTTACAGTGTCATTATGAACACCGTCAACTGGCCATGACATACTCCAAAGAGCAGTTTCAATCATTGGCTCGTTTGGTTTATGTAAAACTAATATTAACAGAGAGTGGCCGTCTTTTCCCATAACACGAACAAGACTCTGTTTTGCGAGTTTTCGTATCGTTTTAAACTCATTTAAATTTTCGTTTAGTATTAGTGTACCAGCAATCCATTCAATGCCTATATCTTCATTTTTTAATTCTGGGCAACGTTGTTTTCGTACAATCGATTGTGCTCCATCTGCTCCGATCAAAATGTCTGAAGTCACTGTTGAATTATCTTCAAAATAAGCAATTACATACTTATCTGTTTCTTCATAACGAATAAAACGTTTGTTCCAATAGATTGGAATATTTTTTGACAATGCTTTACGTACTTCTCACCGATTTAACAGTTTTCCCGAATTGCCATCACCAAATGAAAAGAGTTTATTCAGACTCTTATTAACGATTGCAAAATAGGTTATGCTATTATTTATAGTATTATCAAGAACATCGTTCATATGTTCAATATTTTTCAAAACATCTATACCCATCTTGTTTAATCCGATATAATAACCCTGCTCTCTTCCGTCCTCCTTAACATCTCGCTCATAAACTGTTACTTTCAATCCACTATTCTGCAATAATTGAGCAAGTGCTAGACCACCAAGACCTTAAGAGAGAAGAATATAAATGTTGTCCCCATCGATTATCCAGACAACAATAATATATTTACCTCCACCAATAATAGTTACAGTTTTTAGCTCATTGTTGTTAATAACTAATGGCTCACTCATCACAGTTCACTTTGTCTAGAAACAGTGAATAACTGAAATATTTGAGATAAAGTTCGTATTAGTTTTGTTTTACCTATCATTTTACTGTATTTAAGAAAGCTGATGTAATGTTGTGCGCATCTTGAATCATTAAGAAGCAAACAGTTACATCATTATGATACTTAATAGAAATGAGTGCTGTTTTTTGTCAAAAATAACTTTTTAATAACCAAAATTTTAAAGTGTTTTTATTGATGGCAAGACAACTTGTCATTGCGTTCATTCTTCACACCAATACCAAATAGTTCAAACGTATGATAATTTATTTTATGATGGAATCAAATACAACTGCAAGCAAATTACAAAGTATTGAATATGAGAACTATGATTTGAAAACATATGAATAAAGTCTACAATTATCTAATGGATCGTCTCCGTGTCCATTGGGTCCGTATGGTCAAATATTCTTCACAAAATTGATCAACACTTCATAAATTATATCATCTAAACTCTCAGTAATTTAACTCTACTCTTTCTCATATAAGCGCTCTTAAGAGATACTTTGTGTGTGTCCTTGTTCTTTGATTGCAAGATTACCTTCGTCTTACTTTCTATATCTCTATTTTAATATATTGACATTTTATTATTTTTTGTTATCATGTTGAATCATACGTTAACATTTTCTATTCTCGTAACAACGTCATAAGAATGTTTATAATTTTATTTTGAACAGAAAAAGTTTATGTGACTAATCACAGACAGGGTATTTTTTGTTCTGTCTTCTGCTGGCTATACTTTGCTTATTTTTAAATAATGGTGACTATTGTTTTTAACCGCATGTTTTTCTTAACTGTATATACATATACATATACATATATACGATGACTAGTTCAGTAATAATTGTTTGTCACCCTTAATATAAAGATTCTTTCTTCTGGTGCATAACTAGTCATAGTAAAAGTTCATTTTTTTTCTTTTCTATACTTTTTACTCTGTTTCTTTTTTTTTCTTTTTTTTGAGAAGAAATATTTTAAATTAGAGAGTAGTTGTGTATAGTAGATGCGTGTATTTGCATGATGTGGGTGAATGTGTGTGTACAATAAAGATCGGAGTTGAATAGTCCATTTATATTCGTTCGTTTACTGAAGAGAAGAAGAAAAAAAAAAGAAATGGGACAAAGAGACAAAGAATCTTTATATTCGTTCATACCTTGTAGATGGCGAAAAAAAGAAAGAAATCGGTGCCCGCAATTTTATTGTATATCACATTGCTGTAAGTCATCAAGACACATCGGGCGCCTTTATTTTAATTCATTTTTTTTTTTTTTTTTTGAAAAACAAAAGGCCACAAACTAGAAAAAGCGAACGAAGAAAAAAAAAGAAACGCAATGGAGACATAGTTAGGTGAGAGAGAGATGACATTAAATTACTTGTAAAAGAAGAAAAAAAATAAGTAGAAAAATGAAAGAATTTTTTTTTTTTTTTTTAATTTAATAATAACACGACCAATTTTATCCACTATGCACGTGCAAAAAAAGTCGGAGAAGGAAGACCTTCAAGAAAATCTTTTTCTTTTTTTTTTATTCTTTTTATGTCCTGTTTTACAATACTGTGGTTCTACGCCTATACATATATGTAAATTTTTATTATTACTACTTTTACTCTAATACGTACAATAAGTAAATAAAAAAAAATTTCTATTTTTAAAGATGACGAATGGTAGTTAGATATACTATTATGGAATTATTGTCATAGTGTTGTGATTGTTGTTTGTCATCATTACTAATATCTTCGTTATAGTCCAAGTAGGTCAGGTTACTTTTATCATTGTTACATATTATTTTTCTTTTGGCATTTCTTTGACAGGTGATATACAGAGATATAAACAACAGAGTATATTTAAAGAGAAGAAAAAAGAAAAAGGTGTCCGTTTGTCCTCGACACTATTAACGGCACGCGACAGATAATCGATAATTAAAAGGTAGATAATAAATAGATACATCATGTTTTAATAAGTTAGTTTATAAGAGTAGTGATGAGACAAAATATAACTTTTGCTGAAGTTTTTGAAAAAATTAGAAAAAAAAAATTGCTCGTCTCCTGATAAAAGAAATAATATACAAAATATATAAAAATATATTCCTTCTTTGTTAATAAAACCTTTTTTAATCAAAGTTTAATTCATCTGACTATCATAGAATCTTGTAAATTCTTATTTAAGGATCATAATTCTAAAGTATATAGACACAAAATAATGTCTTGTTAAAATTATTTCAAGATTTTTTTTCTACGCAAATTTAATAATTGACCGTTCAATTTCATTGAAAGATGACAAAACGTATATCTTTTTGTAGATATCAAATATATTCTCATTTTTCATAGAAAAATATTTATTTCCTATAGAAAATGAATTATATTTTATTTCATAATAATTTCAAGATTAATGATGAGAAATAACATTTGTAGATTGATTGATTTGTATTTGCAATGATGTTGGCGAGAGTAATATGTACTTCATTAAAGAATAACAACTCATATTAATATGCATGTACTGTATTGTAGTTTATTTATTTCTCAATGTGCATTTTTGTATATGAATCGCGACAACTCAACATAACAGAAGAGAGGAAAAAAAAAATGACACTTTGGCTATAAGTTTTAAATACAGAAATAAAAATCATTTATTTTGTACACGAAAGAACGCAACGATCTGCAGCGGTTATTCGTTTTCAATGTATGTGAGTGAAAATCATAGTACCATACGATTGATTTCACCTGATACAGAAGAAGAAAAAAAAAATCATTTATAAAAAAACAAATAATGTTCAAACGTATAGATAAAAAATAAACAATAATAGAAATCATTAAAGTTCGGTTATGAACTTTTTCGACTAGATTCATCAACATATTGAGTATTCAAGATGCCGTATTAGATTTATTAAAGAATTGTATTTTAAATGTGAAGTAGGAAATGCAGTTACAAATACTTTCCTTGAATTCACTGAATAGAAGTCATTAACATCTACATAGGTAGAGTGATACTTATGCGGTTATTTTTTTTCTTTTATCATAAGTACTTTTTTCTACTAGTAGTAGTAAGTCTATTACAGCTTTAATAGAACAGATAGTATCTTTTTTTGTCTTCAGTATAGTAAAATTAGTAAAAATAGGAATTTAACAAATAAGGAGATATCTCTTTCCACATAAGATATCCCATGCGCGGACATTTTTTCGTCTCAGCATCGTCCATAGAAAAGAAAGAGAAGAGAAAGATATGTATGTGCCAAAAGAGATATCCCCTTATTGCTAGTTCTCTATTTATAAAAGCTAACTTCATTTTGGAATTATTTCCTCTTTATTCTGTTTTTAGATGCATAAAGAAACGCTACTGATTATTTTTTGTTTTATAAAATATATAACATCACAGGGTCAAGGTTTACAATGGATTTTGTTGACAGATGGGACGTCAGGAGATACACCCGCCGCTAGACGTGATGCTGCCATGGGCTATGATTCGACATTTTTGATCGTTTTTGGTGGTCGAGGACTTACTGGCCTGCCATTACAAGATACAAGTGCATTTAATCTAATACAAGGTAATTCTTAAGTACTAATCAATCACAATACCTTTATGCTGTTAATTCGATTTGGATGTTGTATTTAGGCGGATGGGAACAACTCTATTTTCAAAATCCGCCAAGTAACCGATATGGCATGGCCTATGCGAGTCCCAGCAGCTATACATTAAATAGTGGAATGTATATATTTGGTGGCTTCGGTTACCAACAATCGACGTTCAATAACCCTTATATTGGTTACGGGAGTGGAGGTTCGAATCAGATCAATTATAACTATGCCACACCGCCGAATTTTATACAAAATCCGTCGTTAATGAATAATCCAAATTATGTTAATAATCCCAATTACAATCCGATGAGTGGTGTAGCCAACGGAGATGTATTCAACGATCAAAATTATCAACCAGTACCAGATTCATGGTTCTTAAACTTCCAGTAAATACCTTTTTTCTTTTGTTTTGAATATTACACTTCTTATTAATATGTATATTTTACCAAATTTTTAGAAGCAAACAATGGCAGCAATTACAGACGACACCATACGAACGTGGCTTTGGATCTGCTGCAATATCTCCATTTGGTTCTATGTATTTATCAAGTTATTCATCGCAACCCAGAGTCGTTATCAGTATGGGAAAAACAAGAGATTGGATGTATTCAAATGTTGATTCCATAGGAAGTGGAAGTTCCGGATTAAGCATAAGCGGCACGTCACAAACAACATCTCGTAAGTTTAACATGTCTCGTTTTTTAAAGAGATACAATAATCTTTTACTGTCATTATTTAGTAATGCAAGACATGGCTTCATTAAATCCCAGTTATGCTCATGCAAGATACTCCCATTCAACAGCAATGTTAACTGATAATCAAATGCTTTTGTATGGTGGATGTTTAAGTGGTTATGGAAAGGGAGGTCCATGTCCTTCAAAAGATACTTGGTTAATGAATATTGATAATGGTCACTGGGAACGTATTTCCGACTGTCCACCAACAAAAATGGGTGCAGTCATGGTTGCCGTACCATCATACGGTACATGCGCATCGCCATATGCAGGAGTATTTCCGAATCAAAATATGGGTCAAGAGCAAACGATTGCTATTCTATGGGGTGGAAGAGAAAGTAACCCGTCATCAATTGCTGTAAGGATTATTGCTTGTTTAATGGTTAAAGAAGTGTGGATAGCCTCATTTATCGGAATGGAGTTCCATGACAGCTCCAAAATATTTAATGGACCTAAGACAAAAAAGTGTAATACTAGTCTGAAACTTTTAGTTTTTCAGTTAACATTGAATCCTTTATTATCGACATATTTTCTCTCCATATAGTCCATATGAAAGCGGATGACGCTATACGACATCTTTTTAAAGAAAGAGGACAGAAGGAACAGATTCGGAACAACAAATAGAGTTTATGGACTTGGCTTTATGAGACTCACTTCGACACATTTTATATTGCCTCACACTTCTCTATTAGTATTATCAGATATTTAACATTTTTCTCATTTTTTTAGACTTATCCTAGTCCAAGAGATGAAGTAGCTGTCTTCAGTTTAAGTTCAAAACAATGGTATATGAAAAAAGCAAGACCATTTCAAGTAAGTAGAAAACTTTGGTTAAAATTATTATTTTATATAATGGGGAGTGTACAGTGACTCCAATGAAAAAGAATGAAACATCAAAATGTTCATTCTTCCCTAAATTTTGACTTTTTGATTCAGTTATGTATCTTTTATCAAAAACAATAATATTTTATAGGAAAAACATACCTAGATTAAATTTTTTTAGCATGAACATCATATACACATCAGGTAAGGTTTGTCTTTGTTTTACCAATGAATAAATTATTTAATTTTGTGCTGTACATGCTTTTATGCATGATTTGGGCTGAATATTACATCCAATAACAAGTTATCTCGAATCTTATGCTGTAAGACAGTTCTGAATATTAAAAAGACGGTGTACTACGATGATACTAGAAAAAACTACGTTGCTGTTCTGATACACCTCATAATTCATGCGTCTATTTCATTGTAGGATGGTTCATATCCACTACTTCGTGAAGGAGCTGCCTTTTCTGCCGGTTGTTTCCAGGGAATGCCAGGTATAATTCTTTGATTAAAGCTATATGATTTGAAACTAATATGTATGTTTTACTTTCACAGGTGTATTTGTGTTCGGCGGAAAAAACAACGAGTAAACATTTAAGTAAAAATTATTTCATGTTTTGTATTAAAAAAATGTATTTTATTTTGTTAGTGATGGTCGTCTTCTCAATGATTTATGGTTTTTACAAGCATCGTCTCAGGATGCGTTGAATGCACCAGTATCACGGGGTTGTGTTTACCCATTTTCTTATTATCATCTTCATGGAATATTTCAATTTTTTACGTATGGTGTCATTTTTCCATTTGGTTATATTGTTGGACGATATGCACCAGACACGGCCATACGTAAACCATTACATATGATTTTACAAGTATGTAATTAGTCTAAATAACACTATACCAATAGATAACTTTTTAATGTTTCATTCTCAGATTTTCGGCATCCTTCTTACTATTTGTGGTTTTTCATTCGGTGTTCATTCTGTTCGAGCACCATCATGGCTTCATTTTAAACATCCACATGCCATTATTGGAATCATTACGTTTATCTTAACGATTATTCAATTTGTAATGGGATTGTAAGTACATGATTGTCAAGAAGGTGGCAGTACTATGTTGTAGTGTTCTTCTAGAATTGGTGCAGTATTTATTAAAAAACGTCATCCAGAAAACAATAGAAGAGAAGAATCTGTAAAACATGTTCAGGAAGAACCGTGGCAAGCCGAAACACCATGGAGATTGGGTCATGTAGGACTTGGTACATTAGTTTTATTACTCGGTCTGATTAATATATCACTCGGAGTATTTTTGGCTGTTTTACCAATGCCCGTATGGATAATTTGGTATATTTACTTGGGTCTCTTAGTCATCATATTAGCACTGTTGGAAATCAGACGAGCATTAACAAATTTAAATAAAGAAGGAGCGTCATATAGAACACCAGGTAAAAGTGATTTAAATTCATAATAGTAGATATTTTTGAAGAGAGAAAAGAAGAGCAGAATGAGAAATATGTCAATATTTAACAGTAAACCAAACGTATAGATGAGATACTGATTCAAATTTCTATTTTTTTAAAACACCATTTGAAGAAAGATTAATTGAATATTCGGTATACGATTTTGACATGAAATAAATCTCTTTTTTGGTAGTAGTCCTAAATATTGTAGCTAAACCGTTTCAATCAAACAACTATGTTTATATCAAGTGAGTTACGAAGTCTGAAGTGTATAGATATTCATTTGATGTCAATGTATACCTGTATTATACGTCACTGCTATTGTATCTATAGAAGTAGAGCAGAAGAAAAAAAATACTTGTTAAGTTTCTTATTACTTGTTTTAAACACAAAAGATATTATAGCACATACAACTTTTCAGGAAATAAACGCTCTCAAATAAACGGTGGAGAATCATATCATAGTAGTTATTCAGAAGAACCACAATTAACTAAACGTTCATTCAACGGACGTCTGCCACCTTCTTCTGGTGATCGAAATTTGAGACGTGATAAAATACCATTATTAGAATCGGAGTCTATATCAAGAGATCCGAGACAACGACCAAATGATGTAACAGGATCTGCAAGTCTACCACAGTATAATCGACCAACAGAAAGAGATTATCATCCTCGGCAACAACAGCCACACACAAGAGGAAAAGAAGTTGGTCTCGACTATTATGTGGGCTATACACCTGAACACGAAACAGCGATGCCGTATGTTATTTGATGACTAGCAAAAGAAATTTTCGCTTTGCATTCTCTAGCGTGCGTGTGTTATGTATAACAAATCCAAAGCCATTTGCTCGTCTTAAATTGACGATATCGCATACTAATTTCCTTTCATAATCAAGAGTGAAGAAACAAGCTTCTTTTACACACGCTTAAGCAATGTTTTGATTGTAATCCGGTTGTTATGCTTCTTTGCTTTATCCTTGCTTATTAAAGCTTAAAAAATGTCATTACACTGCGCTTACCTATCTAATCTACACTCATCTATGAAAGTAATTTGTATATCTATACAGATTTCACAATGTTTCTTGATAATAAAATTCATTTTATATCAGCGTACGCACATTATATGACTTATTGTGGCAAATTTATTTTAGTGCTTATTTTCCTTCATTTAATTTTTGAACTATTTTTGTTATTTTTATTTATTTTAGACGACCAACGCAGCAGAGCGAGCACAATCTCACTCGAGTTAGGCTCCAGTAAAAATTTACAACAATTTTCTACTTCTTCCACGCTTCGATCGGATAAATTACCTTTATATCGTCGAAATTTATAAATCATTATATTATTATCTATGCATAAATCAAATATGAATCTATGCTATTACTTATCTGAATGAAGAAAATTTCGTCCTATTTTTCAGGGTATTTTTTTTCTTACTATTCTCGTCTACGATTCTCAGCTAGCTACTATTAGTATATAAAAGTTGTTTTCTGTCATTTTATTTCGAACAAAATACAAGTGTTTAATCAGGCATTCCATACTTATTCCGTTACGTGCTGTCTTTTTGTACGTTTATAACACATTTTTTTTGTATATACACTATTTTTATGCTCTTACAGCGATTTTTTACTGAGTCTCATTCTTTTTTTTAACAATTTTTCTGTTGCTGTTGTTGTTGTCGTGTTGTTGTATATTTTCCATAGTGTATGTTTTTTTATACATACTTATATACGGATAATTATTAATTTTATATTCAAAAAAAGATCATTGTAAAAAGGTTAAAATACAATAATTATCGAAGTAAGTAATTATTTCCTTTTAATTGCTTTCAGTAGAATAGAATAGTTACCATCCTGTTAATATATATAAATGTCGAAAAACTGATCGATACCGAAGGGTATTCATTACAAACTTTTTCTGTCTTTACTCTCAAGAACTATTCACACATCTTTATGAAAAAATGATAAAATTTTTTATTTATAAGGAAAGTTTAAAGAAAAAAGTCGGTTTCTGTAGCAAAAAACCGTCTAAATTTTTGAACATTTTTCTATAAGTAATTTATGCTGCAGGCAGTCAAAAAGTTTTGGTAACACATGAGAGAACTGTTTGCACAAATAGTGACAAAAGTTTGACTGTCCTAAGTAGAAGTTTAATAATTATATTATTATAAAATTGTGCATCAAGAAAAAAGCGTTGAAATCTATATAAAAACGGGTCCATATGGTACTCTTAGAGAATCAGCAAATCGATCCCCAATAAAATGGTATTGGAAGAAAATACACAAGCCAATTATTAAAGAAATCGGTAGTGCTGGTAGTGGTCGACGTAATACGACAAGAATAATTGTAGTTCCCAACATGCCCATAATTATAGAGAGATAAACAGCAATAACAGCAAATATATTTCTGTTCGATGTAAATACGGTCTTGGCAAGTAATACGGAATAAAATACAAAGTCTCCTAATCCTAGCATACTCTTTCGTGTTTTTCTCTTTTTCATTTGTGTTTTTCCTGATTTTTGTTTACAACGATTTTCATCACTATTTATGGGAAGAATGATTTCATGCAATTGTTCGATGGTATCGATATTTCGTTGTTGTATGTTATCTCCATCCATTTCTTGGTGTTCTTCGTCATTATTCTTATTATTATTTTGAATTATTTTAGGATTACCATTCTCGTTTTTAATAAATACTTTTTCTTCGGTAGTGATAAAATAATTTTCATAAAAACTTAGAATTCTTTTTAAACATTTTTCATTGTTGAATAGTGCAAAATTTTTTAGTGAATAGAAATGATGATGTTTGGGTTGAACTAAACACAACGGTGATTGTGTAGATAAACGATTCAATCTACTAACAGTTGTAAAAGGAAGAAATAATAGATTGACGAATGATGGTTGAATGCCGAATAGAATATTGTCATCACTTTGCGATGCTCTTGTGTGATCATTATTATCATTAATATTTTTATTTTCATTAAAATAAATTGCACCCGTTGTATAAATCATTACTGCCGGTACTTCAATTTGTCGTTTTTGAAATAAACCAATTAATAGATAAAGTGGACCAAATGGAAGTAAAACGGCCATCATATCCCATATGGCTAATAGAGGCAAAATAATCCATGTTGCCCATTCTGGTGCCATTTTTAAAAGATATAAAATCATTATTACACATTGATAAATGGTCACTGCTTTTTTAATGATATTTGGTGCAATCCAGAACACTAATATACACAAATATGTTACAAATTAGATAAAATAAGATTGGTGTTAGCGATACTCACTTGCTAAAACAGCCGTAATCGATGTATTATAAACATAAAATGCTACTGTGATCCAATCCACAGGACAATTGAATTGTGCAATAATCAAGGATAAAATTGAAATATTAATTAATGAAAATACCATCAGTACAGTCATGAATAAATAACCGTACAAGAATTTGACAAACCCACAATAAACGACGAGTACAAGTAAACAGGTGCCGACAGCAATAACGCCAAGAAATACGAGTGCAATTTTCAAACTTGCCCAGAAAATTTCAAAATTAGAGGGTCTCTTAGACATGTTTGGTGACGTAATGATACTAATATCTTCAAACACAGTCGATGCTATGTATAGATCATACAAGAACATGGCTAAAAGTGCCGATATCACAACAGTAATTGAGACTGGATAGACGAGTGCCAAAAATGAACGTGACCAATAATCAATATCAGTTTTGTCTGTCTCATCGTTGTCAGATGATGTGGACGACGGAGGAAACGAATCTGTTTGAACATGTTTAATAGCCGATGATTTTCGTTTCGATCTCATATCAGTATCAGCAACAGGAGAAGAGTCGACCCATAGTTTATAAGAGAAAACAAATGGCGCCATATTGATTAAGCCATGTGATATTAAATTAATGGAGGTAACCAAGAATAACCTACCGTGTAGTATTACATTAGGAACGTCATTGAATGATTGTTCTCATGTAGTGGGTACTTAATATATTAAATGACCACTGCAGCACCCAATCGATTAAAACGAGAATACGTTCGCTTATCCTCTGTCCAACGGTTGTAATTAATGTGAATATTAAACACGAATGAAAAATGCTGTCAGGGCACGAAACAATCTAAGATGACAGCTTAAAAAGTCCATAAAGTTTCAGGTGTAGCAGACCTATTACCCCTATTTAATCATGTGAATACAAGCATTACTTGTCTTTCTTGAGAGATAAGAACCATCAGTGACCTGAAGTAAATCGCCTAAATCTCAGGCGAAATAAGTGAAATAAGACCAAAAAAGCCTAAATCCAGCTTTTTATCAGAATATGAACACAATTTGTGTACCTAACAAAAGAAAATTACATAAGTTTTACTTAGAAAGTAACATTTTTGAACAAATTTGAAAATATTACGAAAGTAAGGATGAAAACTGAAAAGTGATCAAGTCGCATGGTATTAGAGAATTCATAAAGGACAGTGCCCTCTTAGAATTTAGATAGTATGGTTGCTTATATCGGTATATTTACCAAAACAAGTTTTCAGACTAGAGGGCACCCCCGAGTTGATAGTTTCCTTTATGTCGAAGCAACGGTGCTACAATGACTTAGAAATTGAATACCGGTTTCTGGAACGATTGTATTGATTCAATAATATGGCGAACCTGAGTCTTATCCCAACAGAAAAGGTGGGTATTTGGCCTACAGCTCTTTTTTTCATTCATGTAATATCCAAAATTTTCCTTGTACAAGAGCTAACATGAATGCAAAACAAAAATTCCAATTGTCATAAACTGCTCGTTGTTTCGACTATCTATTCTCGGGCAAGAAAATCAACATTGAAAAATTAGGTTTTTCCAAGAGATTTTTTAGAAATTTTTCGATTTTCTGATTGCCTGTGAAAGTTTTCGAGTCCAAAAAATTATCTCAAAATTTTCTAGTTCGGTTTACAAAGAATCTCCCATTATATACGAATACTGAAGCCTTTTCTTTTGCAGTCAAAAGACCCTCTACTTCGACACCATATATTTCTGCCAAGCTAAACCATGAAACGGAACAATCACGAATGAGACACTGGTATTAAAAAAGAATTTGACGCCCGGTTATGCCCGTGTACAGTATACTGCAAAACTCAGTTCATGCGTTCGGCTTTCTATTCTTATAAAATTGATTTTGCGTTTTTCGATAGTTCGAAAGTTTTAGACCATTGTAATATAATTTATTCGTTTATATCAGATTGAAAGAATAAAAATAAAAAAATTTACCAGCATGATGTTATTAAAAACTCATTTTCGGCATATAAACATCGAGAAGTTTGATTTTTCTTCCATCTGGTAATAGTGATGATGTAATCTGTGTCGATTCACATATCATCTTTATTCTACTATTCTCATTACTTCCTACAGGCGTATTTGGATGTGCTAGTTCGAATGCACTACTAGATACTTGTTTTTCCTTAGTGATTTGCCCTCTCTGATGTTTTTGCGATGCTTCAAATCTTAGTACGGACATATTATTAGAAGTTGGTGTTATTGGAGTCATATTTCTGTTGTAAAGTTTTTGTGAGTGTTGTATTCTCAAAGATGTATTTTCGTCATCATTAATATGCGGTAAGAAAAGTTCAGATGAAATCAATGGTGATTGTATTTGTCGATTTTTTAATTTTGATGATGATTTACCATTCTTTATTATTGATGAATAGTCATTGTACACTGTTCTCTTGTTTGGATTCGAATCAAAATCATAAAATTGATGAATAATCATATCATCATTGGGTGTATTTGATGATGTAATTGAACATCGACTATCTGAATGTACTAAAGTCGAATTCGAACGACGTGATAGTATTTTATGATAAACTTCATTTGTTTTTTTACGTTCATAAAAGGTTTTTACATCTAGCCTTGTTAAATCATCATGGTCTTTCAATACTGATGAATTATTGCTTGTTCGTGAGCGTGATCTACGTTTGTTAACAGAATAAGATGGTAATATCATGATATTGGATGGAAGTTTATTAGTCATAAACATCCGTAAATCTTTATATGTCATGGGTGTCTGTTTAGTATATAGAAATACATTATTAATAGTTGAATCATTATTTATTCGATAAAGATTGTTTGAGGACGATGATAAAACATGATGACGAATATCGTTAAAATCGCAAACATCCACACGACTTATTGGACGACTCAATTCCATCATTTTAGTTATATTTATTTCGTCACAATTATCGTATATCACGAAAAAATAAGAGATGAAGAAATCCGTACAGACATGTTAGGGTAAATGACACTTAATAAACGACCTGCTTGTCTGCGACAATTGACAAAAATGAAAATAACTAAAATTGGTAGAGTGTATGTATAATGGCATTAATGAATTGTACTTGAAAACTCTCATGTAAGATTTAAAATAATTTATTCGATCAATTTTCGAGCGTAGAGGAAGAACAAGCGAAAATTTATCCCAGGGCTACGAAATATGTTTTTAATAGCTACTGTGAAACGTTTTATTTCGTTCCATGACTAAATATAAGAGAGGTAACAAAAGCAGACGAATTCTTTCATCATTTTTATCGAGTCTGACAAATGAACATATGATCAATATAAGGATTTTTTGGTTTGTTTCTAAATGAATAGACACTGTCACATGTGAAGTTTTACTGTTGTGGTACATCTTGTCGAATCATAAATAATCGTCATAATCCTAAACAATTACGCGTCATATGTTCAATTCTAACACCTTTCGGACTCGCACTGAGTAATATACAACTTTTTCAGAAAATTTATACTATTTCAGTATATGATCGTCAGAGTTGTTGAGTATTAACATCGCGTCTCACTCTGTCCTTGTGGCAAATGGCAAATTCAAACAAACAAAAATAAAATTTGAAAATAGTAAAATTACAGCATGTCTCTTCTGATGATTGATCATATTTGCAAATAAGTTGTTTGGAAAGAAAAAATATGTTTCAATTACTCTGCAATAACGCTAAACAATAGTTGAATGGATGTACGATTAATATGATAAATTGATACTTCATTTTTGTTTGACCTATATTAAATTTTTGGTACAAATGTGAACTTAACAGGATTAAACATCAGCATACTTCTCGTACATTTTTAAGTATCATTTTTGCTGTGGGCTTCTTGTTAGATACTTATTTAGTCGTGTGTTGATGAAGGTTTTGTCGAAGATTTTGAAGGATTAGACTTGATACTTAATGCTGAGCCTTTGCGTTGTACAGCAGACGAAGTGTGATCTACCAGTTCTAATTTTGATTTTTGTGATGTTTTATGTACTATCCATTTCGGAATAAAAGATCCTCGAATATTTTTTGAATAACTCACCATTAAAAAGTGCAAGAAACATACATATGCTATCCGCCTATGTATGGAGGACCAAAAGTTTCAGATTATTAGGTACTGTGCACTTGGTAGATGAAAAAGAAATTATCAAATATCGAAGTCAACATGGATTTTCAACTGAAAACTAGATGGTTAGGTAGTTCAAAGTGTTCTCTACACAACTACACAAGTCCAAGGTTTCTAAACACTGGTGAAAATCGCATGTTTCTGGCACTTTTCGATAGTAATTTATTCAAAAAATATCCGATCATCTTCTATTTTGAAATGGATACTAATCTAGATATCTTTGGCTGGAGGAAGAGTTAAGAAATTTCGAAATATTACAAATTCTCGCAGTTCATATTATATGGTTTATCTGTCATACACATTATTATTTAATCACATGATTCGAGTCTCTTTTACTCTTTGCAGTAGTACTGCCTTACGGACCAAATTCCAGAAATGCACTTGAAAACATATCTTATAAAAGAGAAGTGGTAGCACTATGTCTTTGAATTCATACTCAGCATCAAAAATACCCTATATTTCAGTACTTTACAGGCCTTCCATCGGTATCCAGAAGTAAAGGTTTAAAATTTTCAAGGGATTTTTGAAGGACCCTGAGCAAAACTTTTAAAGTTAAGAGCCATTATCTGGTAGACTCAAACAGACAATGATTGTTGATGTCACAGATTTAAATGATATTCACACCAGTTGTAGGTCTATATGTAACTAGATAATGGTATAAATAGCGTATGTAAACCACTATGAAAATTCCTATGGAAATTATGTGAAATTCGTATCTGGTGGAAAAAAACACGTACGAAGCTGAAACACATCTTCTTTTGATCAGAATTTTACGGGCTACAACCTGGAGAAGGCGAAAAAATGTTCTAAAGGGGTCTTCACGGTTTGGGGTTTTCTGAAAAACCGGTTTTTGAGAAGTATCTTAGGAAAAATAATCGCACAGAAATCCAAAATCTGCTGTCTAAAGACATCTGAGTGTGGCCTACATTCAGATATATTAAGCTCGAGCCATAAACGTTTTGGTACAGAGAGAAAATCGGCTTATTATGTCTTACGTATAAACCAAGAATTTTATTTCAGTGGAGCCGTTTTAAAATCTGTCAAGAGGCGGAAAAGATAGCCCGTATTCTGAAGTATAAACTTATATTAAAAGATATCTTTTAAAGCTGGTTTGTATAGGTGAAAAAACTTAATTCTAAACGTGATGAGAATGATCGATTTGTGGTGCCATCGCTTGCGGCCTCTATACCTCGAGAACGAAGCAGTTTTAAGTGACGCTATTTATACCATCATCTAGTTACATATAGATCTACAACTGGTATGAATATCATTTAAATCTGTGCCATCAACAATCACTGTCTGTCTGAGTCTGCCGAATAATGTCTCTTAAGAATTCCAAATAGATATTAGAACCATTGAAATCTGATACACAAAGGGATGCGATACGAGTTAAGATTAAGAATTAGTGTAAAAAGATTCCTTAGATACAGATATCAATGCGTGGAAACTTGTTTCAGGTCTTTCGATTATTTCACATAAAGCCAAATTCATCAGTACAGTTTATTTTCAGAATTTTCAGAAGTTTCATAAACTTCTCAAAGAAACACTACCTCCGATTGAAACACTTTCTTCTCTAAACTGTTTCCATTCTGCACACACAGTCTTACGTTAATCGAAGTGTACTCCGGTAGATTCCAACAAAATTCTACTCGAAGTACCCATTAAGGGTACCCCCCTCATTTTGGACTTTCCGTAAAAATGCTGTGAAATAAAAACTAAAACTCACTAAGACTTCATATTTTCAGAACTGATTGGAAACTCAATGGAGCACTTTTTCGTTCGTTTTTGTTTCAAGTTTCTAACTATTGCCGTTCATCAGTTTTCCAGAAACTGGGTTTTTCATTGTGCCACATTGCGACCCCCCTTAAATTTCATCCGATCGAGTTAAAAATTTTACCAGAGGTACTGAAGATCATAGCGCAGAGGTGTAATTTTGAAATTTTATTTTAGACCTTTCTTTATCGAGTTATAGAAAAAATACCGAAAAACTTTTAAAACCAAATTTTTCAAACTTTAGAAACCGTATAACTCGGTAAAGAAAGATCTAAAATAAAATTTCAAAATTACACCTCTGCGCTATGATCTTCAGTACCTCTGGTAAAATTTTTAACTCGATCGGATGAAATTTAAGGGGGGTCGTAATGTGGCACAATGAAAAACCCAGTTTCTGGAAAACTGATGAACGGCAATAGTTAGAAACTTGAAACAAAAACGGAAAAGTGCTCCATTGAGTTACCAATCAGTTCTGAAAATATGAAGCCTTAGTGAGTTTTAGTTTTTATTTCGTAGCATTTTTACGGAAAGTCCAAAATGGTACCCTTAATGGGCACTTCGAGCAGAGTTTTGAATGTAAAAAAAGTTCTGATACATCACCTGACGAGATCAGCCTTCTGCACTGATCACCGGTATGACATTTCTTCTTTGAGAGTTATGACATTCTACAACAATTTTTGCCGATAGATCCGAAGAAAGAATGAGAGTAACCAGAAATTATTGTGGTCATAGCACTAATGATAATAAAGCTTTATATTAACAGAATAAAATATTTAAAAGAAAACCAAACACGCATATACAACTTTCTCGCACAGAAGAAATGTCCTAGTTTATCATTTCTTTTTTTTCTTTTTCTATCAAAAAAAACATGCATACAATTAGATATTTTTCACTTTTCATCAGTTAATTCCTTTACGTAGTTTCTTCTCTAAAAACCAGGTTAAAAAAAAAGCTTTTTCAACATTATTCTAATTTTTAAGTTAAGTTAAGCAGCATACTCAAAATAGACGACGAAGTTTTTCCATGAATAACAGTCAATACAGAAGACTCACTTCGTCGAAGTAGAACGAAAATGATTCTTGATTTTATCTTTAAATCCTCTTAGATACATGCTTATGATTATATGAGAGAAGTTCTTAGATTTGAGATTATATAACAGTTTTGACTTGGATGCTTCATGGTAAAAGTTCTACTCTTGTTTTTCCTTTTAAGTCGTATTTCTTGAAAGATTTCCAACTATTTTTCAGATCTTATATTTCAAAAAGCTTTTGCAGCTGATGATTTGTTTGTAAACAAAAATAAATATAAAACAGCCGAAAACTTTATTTACTTTACACTTCCAAACGTTTTTCCTCTTATATTAGATTAGATAGTGCTTCCCTGAGTACTTAACCTTCCAGGTAATAGACTACAACTTATTTCTGCAAAATAAACCAACTTTTGTTTTGTTTGTTGTTATCGAAGCGGTTCTTGAAAAACGCTCCGAGCCCTCCACTGTAACTTGTTTGAAAATGGGCCAATAGAAATACAGAAGATGAATCCAATGTCTCATTCCATCAGAGTTGTAATATACAGATTTGATTTGGATTGTTTGTGGAAGATATGATATCAATATAGCATTTGTCTTGTTTTCAACTAGTCGGTTAATCATCGCAGTGTTTTTTTCAGTTGTTTGAAACGTCTTCATTATCATTAGTGATAGGCACAACCCTGCCGTATACTTTAATTCTCATTAATGACCTTATCTCTTTTAGTTCTCCAGAAAAAGAAGAACTACAAGAAAGATGACTGACAGAATTTGTATGCACTCGATGCCATATCGCACTGGGGGATTCCACCAGCGAGCGATCGTCACTATCTTTGGAGAAAAAAAGGTGTTTGTCGTGTAGAACTGCCTGAAAAAATTGTGTTTCTATGGTGATCGCACGTACCTCACACTTTCTTTACCCATCGCGTGTACCTAAGTGGAATTGTGAATCCGTTGCTGCCATACTGCCATGTTCAATCCTTGTACATTTTAATTGTACTTTTCTACGTATGGTATGTCTTCTCTCTATTCAAATGTAATATTGGACGCTAGCAATTAATAAAATGTTTTATCTTAAAATACAAAAGGTTCTTTGCTTAGTTATGTATCCCAAAGAATAACAGAGAATAGCTATTTGTAGAAGACTATTTGTCATAATACGTTTTTGAACATATTTTTACTTATATTTAGTAAAAACAACCATTGCTTATATAATTCTTAGCTGAATTTCTAAAATATCTTTTCCTGATGGAATTTCTAATGTGCTTATTTGTAGATACTCGTGTGTTGAAAATAATGTGAAGAAAATCTTTGACACTAAGGATGCAGTTTTTACTGCATTCTAACTTTTTTCACAATACGATTATGCCGGATTCATGAACACCGTTTCTGTTCTGCAAGATTTTAATGCATGGTAAGAATAATAATGAAGAATATCTTTTTTATTTTTATCATTGTTGATTTTTATTGATTTAGTCAATTCCTTGTCGCTTTATCCACTTTAATATTTAGTATTCTTTTTGCATTTCGCGTACAAACATTCATTTTGTGGAGTTACTGGATTATATTTTTACCCCTATATATTTGGAAAACAATCATTATAATTGGTGCAATAACTGGAGTGATCACTTATTTTCATGTATCAGTTGTGCAGTAAGTTTTTCGTACTAGATTTTATGTTTATCTTAAATCACATTAATTGTTCTTATATTTCTTTTTTTAGCCGAGAACGCGGTTCACCTGTCCAATGTCGCGCATTATTTTTAAATTTAATAACAGCTTCTCTTCTTTTAACTTTTGAAGTATTAGTTTGTTATAATCTGGAACAGTCTACTGTAAATAAACTAAAATGGGTCTATTGTTTTTTACCATTAATTATTTTGTCGATTGTCTCGGTCTTCAGCTACATTTGGGCACTAAGACATGGTCGTGAATGGGAAGTGAGTGAAAAACACAAATTATTTTATGGACTGTATACATAAAAACATTTCGTACTATTTAGATTTATGGATTGTTTGTAGTTAACATTTTACAATTTATATTTATCTCAGTTCGATTAGACAACAGTATCACATGGAATTTTGTTGTAAGATCAACAAAATACTCGCATTGTTATTCTATTATTTAAAATTTTTTTCTACTTTTTAGTTTGTGTTTATTCCCTTGTATATTACAATGGCGGTAGCAATTATTTTTAGTATATGTCGATCAATATGGAATATTATTCATCACAGAGAAGCAACAGTTCACCTTCACAATCTGAATCACGATCGTTGTCACCGAATATATCGAAATTCAATTGCAAATATTTGTATACTCATGTTTTTACTCATTTTTGAGGTAAGTCTCTAACACATTTCTAAATGTTCAAATTCATTCACAAGATCTCTTACGAGATTTCGGCGAAAACACATTCTTTTTTAATTCAATGAGAATGTTGATTTACCAAATTTTATTTTGTTCAGATTCTTTTGGCACATTACTTGGATCATACGGTCGATATTTCATTTAGTGGCGTATGTTTACCATTATGGTCAGCTTTGATTGTCCTAATATATACTTCGTTTGGAACTCGTGCACCATCAAATTATTGTAAGGAATTTTTTATTGTATTGTACACTATCTCGTTGTACAATATCTAGTTTTTATATGTATAGGGTGGTTTGGTCTTCGACAAAATTTTTGTGATTGGTTGTTAAATATATTTCCAGTTTTACAAATTTATGGTAATATTGAATATCGTTTCAATAATACTTCAACAACACAATCATTATCATCTATTCCAAGCATCGAAGATACAATTCGAAACAGCGATCATCATCGTGTAATTCGTCAAGGACGTTTTCATTTTTTTAAAAAATCTTTTTATAACAAACAACAACAAGATAAAGAAAAATCAGAACTTTTAGTTCCATTTACAGTAATAACGTCACCGCTGTTAACTTTAGATTCTCCCGATTAATTTTTACCTTTTTGTTTGTTAGCACATACACTTTCTGTTGTTGTTTTTTACATCTAATATTATTTGTACATAATCTTTTCTGAGAATAATTTTATTAGTCGATCAATATAAAATGCAATAAATTTACATCCTTACACCAATTAGTGTCTAATTGTTCAACTTATGTGGTATACATGATCTATTATTATTTACTTCTCAACTATGAGTATCGAACACTGAATACGAACTTTAAGTATGAATAGCTTTTTTGTGAAAAAATATTCAATTTAGTAAAATTTTTCGCCATCGGAATCATCTTTCATTCTGTTTCGACTCATTATGCTGATCCTTCACCACACTACTATTTGTTACTTGACTGACAAACTTTTAATTCGATTTTCTCTTTTATCTCAGTTTTCATTTTCTGTTTTTTTTTGCAGAGCCTTTAAAACATTAATTCTATATTGATAAATATAGACTACTTAGTGAAGAGTGGACGTTTTTTAGCCAGATACTGATTTTTGGTTTTCCTCAATCGTAGAGTGAACATAGTAAACCAAAGTCAAATCATTCTAAGCCATCCTTCGGATGTCTGGTTAAGCTTGTGTTATATTGGGTAGCAAAAACAGATTTATGTGTTGCATATGTGTTCCCGTGATATAATGATTTGGCGTCTGGCTTTCAGATTTTCTTGAGTACGTGTAGGAGTATACGTATATCTGAGGGAGAAAATCTAGGGGTTGAAAGCTGAAAAGGGTTTATTTCTCGTACCGTTACAGTAGTTACAACTAATTGCATTTACGCACTCATGTAGTACGTGTACTGAACGTTATGTAGTGCTGCTCCAGATATTGAAGAAAAAGCAGTGGAGTACATCGGCGATTGTATCACTTTCAGACAATATATAAGTTTAGCGTGAATAATTGAAGATTAACAATGTATCCGTACAGCAATTTGAAAAGTACTTCTACAACGATCATTTCCTATGCAAAAGTTTGTAAATCAGTCGCTACTGTCTGTGTTTGTTTTAGCCAAATTCTATGTAAACTAGCCATAGATGGGCGAGTCACCACTTTGTCGAGTCTGAGTCGAGTCTGAGTCAGCAGCCTTCGAGTCGAGGTCCGAGTCGCATCAAAAATTGACTCGAGTTACCTCGAGTCACTTCGAATCATTTTCTGGGGGAAAACTTCCTCTTGAGTCATTTTTCCAAGAACAGGTCTTCAATCCTCTCATGCGGCACAATGTTGTACTTAGAATATTTTCAAATCTCTTAACAAATATAATAAACACCATCATAATAATCCCAAGTTGAACATGACTGACTCGAAAGTGACTCGAGTCAGTTTATCAAGTTTATCGAGTCTGTTATCTCGAGTCCGAGTTCGGGTCCGAGTCATACGAAAATGCGACTCGGACTCGCCCATCTCTAACACTAGCTTCACATCTTGACTGAATGATTTGCGAATGGTTTTAATTTCAGATCAAAAAGTGATGGTACATCAATTCGTTACGATTATGGTTAAGAAGAAGAACACGGTTTGTTATATGAAGAAGTGAAGCTAATCATTCGTTTCAAAATTCTGAGCTTTTGATCAAACTGGTACCATTATGCGTATTTGATTCGTGAGTATTCGAAAAAAAATTGATATTCAAATACAATTTCTCTCAGCTTTAGTCTTTGTCTCCTTTAAGATATAGATTAGAATGTTTCTTTGACTACGCGTGAAATATGCTTAAGGAGAATCAGTTGATGGAATCTTCTTTGAAGATGATGACAACAACAACAGACTTTAAATCGTATGTGTTTCCTTTTAGATTCCGTAATATTTGTTGGAAAATAGATCGGCTAATGGATGGATACTACCCGTTATTTACAATCTTTTAATCCAGGGTTGGTATACTTTATTTTTAGCGTTCATTCATTCGTACTTATATCTCTTCGTTTTTCTTTTAGTCGATTTGTTATTACATTTTGTCTATTGATATTTACATTACCATTTGCATTGCAATTAGATGACTATATTCAGATTAGTTTTTGGTTGGTATTTCTACCGTTGTATATATGGAAAATGTTAGTTATTTTTGGTGCCTTGACGGGTCTAATCGTCTGGTATAAAACAGATCGTAACAGGTATGATCGTTCGAATTGTATAGAGCGCCAAACTACTACTAATAACTATATCTGTTATGTTTTAGAAATTTTCGTGATAATGACTGTCGTGCTCTCACCATTTATTTATGTATACATGTATTATTGTTTATATTTGAATTACTTGTATGTGATAAAAAAGAAAATCAAATAAATAATCGTTGGACAATATGTTTTATTCCGTTAATTATTTGTTCATTTATTTCATTTCTGTCCTGTTTATGGTCTTTGAAAGTGCAACGAAATTATTTGGTAGACAGAATCTCTTGATCGTTAGCACTAACACATTGATACTTTTTATTTAGCTTCAAGCATTTCTTTCGTCAAATATTTTGCTCTTTCTATTTTTTCCTATGCGAATGGATAATCTCATCAATTGGCGTTATGTGGTTTGTAGCTTCTCGTACATATCTACTAGTGTAATTTTAAGCTAACATCTTTTTTTGTTATTTAGATTGTGTTTCTCCCATTTTGGATCTCGTTGAGTATTGCCTTATTATTTACTAGTTCGAAATTAATCATTGCGATTGTACACCGATGTACTCATCGTCTAATAGCGTCAAATCAACGTGAGACCGGTACAACATCAGACGCAATTGTTTATGGCTGTATATTTATTCCATTTTTGATATTTGCTGTAAGTTATATTTTAATTTTTTGTTGAATATTCACCATTGATTATGCTATTTAGATACTTCTGGTTGATCGACTAGACGGAAACAATAGTTTTTCGTTTTGTATTATATCAATTCCATTGTGGATAACATTAATATCTTGGATGATAATGCCTTTTGGCGCTAGTAATGCAAATCCATGTAAGTAGCTAATATTTAAAAGCTGCTGAAGAAGCAAAAATCTCAGGCTATAAAAGATGGTTTTGAAAGAATGATATGCCTTCAATCTTCTAAATTTTGTTGTATATCAAAAGTTAAATAATCAGTTGAATGATTATATCTACTATTCTTAGGGTGGTTTGGTTTACGACGAGATATTTGCGAATGGACAGTATCAAAATGTCCACTATTACAATTATATGGAAACAATCAATATAAATTTGTTACGAGAATGCCTGATAATATAGTCATAAATGTTACGAAAAAACAAGAGTCTGAAAGTGTCAACGAGCATTATCGAACATTAACAGCGAAAAAGTTAAATCAGAATACAATGAGTTTAGAAGTACCCGATTGATGCACAATGTTTTTTCTCTGCATTATTAATATCTCGGTGACTCAAAGAATTATTTCTTCTTTTAACCTTATCTAAGTCTTTTTTATTACATCTTTTATCACTGGATATACACTGTAGAGACTTTTACTCTTTTTAAACCGTACAGTTTACAGTTTATCTATTTTTCTAATACAAGTATACAAACATCATTTCACTGAACATACCTTTCCAAGTTACTGTGCATGAACAGAAAATGTTTGCTAACAATTAAGCCTCTTAAACAACTCGAAATCGTGTCTACTAATGAAAATTGATTTCAAAGTTTAATTCGTTCAAAAAAAGTTTTCTAGCTTTTTGTTTCTAGCCATATAAACTCCGTATCAAGAGATATGACATCTCAGACTGCTCGTTGGAAATAACGTGTCTTATCAAACTATGACTATTGCTGAGAAATTTCTCTTTTTCTAAATCAGCAGCGGAAAAGTCGGAATTGTGCCTGTAATTCTCAACTTTCTCCACCAGAACTCACTTTTTATTCAATAAAAGTACCATACTCGGAGTCAGCGTCGAAAACCACGTTGAATGATATATGTTTTGAAGGTTTTCGTTTATTTTCAGTTTTTGGTGAAATCTCAGTAATGTTTCGACGTGAAAATTCGAAAAAAACAAAAGTGGTCGAATGATATAAAAAGGTACATCATTCGACTCAGTTTTCGACGCTGACTACGAATATGATACTTTTATTGCATAAAAAGTGAGGCTTCATAAAAAGAGAGTTTTTTTTAGGTGAGTTTTCACCATGAATTTTTTCATTTTATATTCGGGACGAAAGTTGGTTGTTTCTTTGTTCTATTTGTGGCTCGGGTCGAAAGTAGGACAGCTAAACTTATTTTTCACGCTAAAGAAATTAATTTCTGTGTTCTGCGGACTGAGTTATCTGAATTTGTAAACGCGGTATTTTGAACACGTGATTCTGCCACGAAATTTCTCCGCAGTTTATATTTTTGTCACACTTGTGATCTTTGAGGAAGATCAAGCCACCTTTCTAGTAACAGTTTTTCGCGCTTTATCTAATGTACTAATTTGTTTTGGCACAAATATTTTTTGTTAAAAGAAAACAGTGTGACGGAATCACACATCATCGACCAAGTTTGTTTTTATGAAAAAACGAACTTCTTTCTCATTTTTCGTCATTTTAAGTGTTCTTGAATTGACCAGATGCAGTTTAAATTGTTTCTCTTAATTGCGCACAGCAAATCTCGCCTTTTCTTCCTCGCTCCCGACTCCCACTATGATTTATAGCTCAGATAACTATTGTAGATGTTATCTTTCACGAGTATTCATGTCTTTGAGTGTCGCCAAAAGAAGTCGAAGATGTCGGGAGTGTTTAAAACAAAAAATTGAACAAACGTAGGCGGTTGCCAAAGTTTTATCAAAAACTCTGGATGATCTCTAGAAGGAGTCGAGAAAACCTTCAAATACCGCAGTTTGATGGAACTTTGTTGAGTACGCCAAAAGATAACCGATTCAATTCTGAGTTGAATACGGTGTTCGGCAGCTCTCCATGATCTTTCCTTGCTGAGATAGGCGGCTTTTACTAAATGTCTTGCAGCAGGTTGACTTGAGACAACTTTTTTGGACAGACTTCTCGTGAAAGTCGCCTGTCTCAGCAAGGAAATGTCATGGGGAGCTGTCGAACACCTCATTCAACTCAGAATTGAATCGGTTATCTTTTGGCGTACTCAACAAAGTTCTATCAAACTGCGGTATTTGAAAGTTTTCTCTAGTCCTCCTGACGATCGTCCTGAATTTTTGATGAAACTTTGGCAACCGCCTACGTTTGTTCAGTTTTTCTCATGGTACACGCCTATTGCAGGAACTGTGGGTAATTGTGTGAAAGAATTGAAAAATGGCAGGTCGAAACCATGTTTTAACTGTTTTTTGTTAGGGAAATACTCATCACATGTTTTGATTGAGATGTTACTCACTTTACACACAAATAAAAAATTGAAAAAAACATCCGCAGAATTTTTCACATCTTTGGACACAGCTAAAAGAGCCTGTCCATTTTGCGTGATTCCGTCACGATCTCTATTTCTTTACTAAAACCGAAGCTGTGCAACCAAACTGAACGATATTTTCAGCTATTGTAGAACGCATGGCTGCACACATGTAGAAAAAATGTCGACTCTTCGTGTTTTAAAATGACCAAAAAAAATCAAATTTAAAATGAAAAAACGTGATTCCGCCACGATTGGACAGGCCGATTCTCTCTATTTGACTGCCTAGTTATTGGTCATTCAAAGACGAAAATAAGTGTCATTCTTCTATTTGGCTCAACGAAAGTAAGACGCTTTAAGATATAAGCTCTTCATCTATAATTAACATGGATCATCGAAAAGTGGACCATAGCCACTATAAATAAGAGTCGTAAATATTCACAGGCGACTATAAATAACCCATAAAGAGGTCGACCCCTTTTGTATTAAGAGGCGACTATAAACTCTGTAGATTTCAATATATTTAATAAAATGGCTTCTAATGGCACAGATATGAATGCAGTCTATAAAGACGCTAAACATAATCACAATGATGAATCAACTGTACATAAAAACATTCAAATAGGTCGGCAGGTTATGTCAATGACGATGATTACGGTGTGGAACTCTAAGCTTCTGATGCTGACAGCACATTTTCAAGATCGTCGCGTGATCGAGAACGACGACAGGATCAACGGCGTAAACGTGATCATTCACCATCACGTCGTAAAAAAGTGAAAAAACATACGGCTTGTCCAAAGGTAACGCTGTGACATTTTTGACACAGTAATTTGAATTTTTCTCGAAAACTGTAGGAACTAGAAAGTTCGTTCTGGAGCCATTCGACGCAGCTCACCAAACTCTACTTATGACATAAAATTGAAGATTTTCAGTTCAAGACTCGAGCTTCCAGAAAGATTTTTCGGCGAGTAGCACTGTGACAGAAAAGGTCCCTATTTTTTGAGAACTGATACCACTCTGATTTTCTGCGAATTGAGCTGTCTATCTGAAAACTGTCTAGAGGCAAGTTCATAGAAGAATTAACGGACTCTCTTTTGGTAAAAAAACATTTTTCCCAAACCCTTCCACACACCTAGAAAAGTCGATTTTGTAAAGTAACCCTGTGACATTTTTGGTAACGCGGTGACATACTTTTTTCGCACCATTTTAGGCACTAAATGTTGTTCAAAAAACTTCATACCTATAGTCTGTGTAGTTCTAGGTTTCCTGAAAAGACTCCAGTTGAGAATAAGTTCGAAAAATTCTCTGAGACTTTCAGGACACGGCGGAAGTTGGAGCGTTCAAGCAGCCACTGTGTCTCGACTGACAAACAGATCTCAAACCAAATGAGCCATTGTGTAGAGAATTGAATTCTCTACTCAATGTATATTTTTAAAAATTTTTGAACAAAGTGTCTGGGTCTGAAAATTGAAATCAAAGTTTTTAAAAATTTTATATTGAAAATTGATTTTTTCTTTAAAAAACAAAAGTCAGATTCGTGATCAGCATGAACAGCTGCGTCTAGTGATGTGCCCCTATCGGAGGGGTAACCAGCCCCCCATAATCGAAAATAATTTTGTTTGATCAGCCAAATGGAAAAGAAAATTTGCAAAAAAGCTCGCGCAGGGATCTTCATACAACAATTTGGATGGATAGGATATATTTGTAGACAAAAAGACGAATATAATTCAGCTATTTCTTTCTATAAAAAAGCCTTAATCATTGTCAAACAGCTATCTGTTACAATAACTTACGCAATGTCTATGCAGATAAAAACAATTATGCAAATTGGTAATGTCAAATGATAAAAAGAGTCATTGGAAGTACAGGAAACAACTGTATATCTTACCAATACATTGGTCATTTAGGCAACGATCAATTGATTAGAGAAAGCATTAGAAGTTTTTTGGGTAAAAGTCAATGAAGTGTATCAACGTAGTTCATTTATACAATCCACGAGTTTTACAAATTAACGAATACATTCAATTAGCTAAATCGCAGTTTAAAGTAGAACCGCCAAATTCTCAAAATTTTTAAATTAAGGAAGCTATTTTCATTATTTCATCTCTTTCGCTTAGAGCAAGCCTCAACTATCATATACCGTTCCATAGAGAATATCGTGGGCTACAACATGCTATATAGACTATTGAGAAGAAAATGTAACTGAGTACTCTAACATCAAAAATACTCTTGAGCATCGCAGCAAATCATAGATAGATGTTAGAGTACTGAGTTACATTTTCTTCACCGTGTACAGAAAAGATTGTGAGCAAATCAAGACGCCTCTGAGCTCTCTACAGTACTGTTTCATTAAACATAATTCTATTTGAGAAAAGCCCCATGCCAGCAAAATTACTCGAAAAAAATATGTCTTTCGTTTTGTTACCCATACGTCTAAGAAACTTATTATTTGAAAGAATATGTTATACCTCATTCTGTAGCCCTTTCAATTCTGCATCTTTCTATATACAAACTGTGCCTAATCTCTGTCTGTAGAAGAAACTATAATCATTTTTATGAACCACTATAGGAAAAAAACCGGGATATCTGTCAAGTATTTGTCGAATATATTTACAAAGGCACACTTCTAAAATAATGCGTAATAGCTCATTTTGTAGCCCGTGAAATTCTCCATTGAACGGTATATGAAGTGGAATGGTTAACGGAAAGGTAAATGGATAGTATAAACCTGAACAATGTTGACCTACCGGTTTGCTTCGATGCTACCAGTTATTTTCAATCTTCGACTACCTAGTTACACTTTTCTCTGAATATTTTATATATCATTTTGTAGGCCGTGAAATTCTCTATCGAATCGAGGAGTCAGAATGTTTTTTTTAAAGTGCTAGTTTTATTTGTACATCTATTGTTAGACAGAAATTGAGTTTTCCGTTTTTTCTTACGAGACATTTGTTTTCCATAAAACACCAGTTCGAAAAACTTTGCTGTCTTTTCAGCTTGTTTTTAGTTGTTCGTCTTTGTAGTTCTAAACCAGCCACAAGTGGAGGAATGTATTTTGGAGTTTGAAATTTTTCGTATATTCCGTTGTCTGACGCCATTTGTTCTTTAGTTCAACTAATTCTCTCTCACTCTTCTTCAAATGACGGGGGTCTATAAGAGGCAAAATCGGAACTCTCTGAGATCAATCTCATATCCACAAGTCTGATGTAGTTTTCCCCCGTGACTAAAACTAGCACCTTAAAAAACCATTTTGACACACCTGGAAAATTTTACATTCATCAATCTCCAATGTCGGGAGAATATCCTATCTTTTCCAGAACTTTTCTAGCTTTCATAGTTCTCTCGACCATGCGGTGCACAGTTTTCCTAAAAAGTGGACGAAAGAAAGAAAGAAGAAAATAAAACTAGAGAGCAACTGCGCTGCGTACAAGTTGCAATGTCGACAGACTGTATCCGATCTGAAGCTGCCCGCAGTCAATAGGGAGTTCCTCACATCACGTTCCTTGTGATTTTAGTTGCTTTAAATGATAGATTAAGAAAAATGAAATGAAAACGAAATTTGAAGAAGAGCGAGAGGATTAGTTGAACTGAAGAACAAATGGCGTCGGACAACTGAATATACGAAAAATTTCAAAGTTCAAAATACATTGGTCTTCCACTTGTGGCGCTTATAGCATCGAATCTGGATCTTTATTTGAGAGAAAAATGTGCATGGATCAATCTCCAGGGTCAGAAGAATATCCTGCCTTTCATAGTTCTCTAGGTCACGAGATGCACATTTTGCCTGAAAGGGGAGGAAAGAAAGGAACAAGAAAATCAAAGGTCTGTCGACATAAAAATAGATATTATGGATCATCAAAGTGGTAGTGGAAATTTTCTTGTTGATAACGAAACAGCTCATTTGAATTTGTTTCTTTTTGCTTCGCTTTCCTTTTGTGTTGTTTTCTTAATTTGTAGTATGCGCCAGATCAGATTCTCTTTTTTTATTTTTGCCTTGTGAAAAGTTTCTATTTCATACTTAGAAAAATTCGTGCTTGCAAAATTTTGTCTGTGATCATGATCATGGAAACTTGTCTTCAATCACGATCACGAGAGAAATTGGTTTTTATCATACTCACGGCCACGATCACGCGTGGTCGTGATGAACATGAAGGGCTCTATTGCCATGTGAACAATTCATCGTCTATGGGTTCTTCCCTTTTGTGCAAGCTCAAGAACGAGCTAGGTGAAGAATAAGAAACAGGGTTAAAAATCCGAGTAAATAACTTTATTGGCAGGACTTTATTAATCAACGAATTATATGTGATTACAGTTGAACTAATCGTTATTTAAGGATTAAAAAAGCATAAGACGTAGAATATATTTCTACATTGTTAAAAAAATGAGTTCTTCAAAAAACAGAAAAGGACGAGGGTCGATAAGAGGCAAAATCGGCCCCTTCACAGATCGAGCTCATATTAACCAATCTGATGTAGTTGTTTTTGTCGGTGATTAACCCCAACATATTTTTTTTTCTTCAGTGTCCCTTGGAAAAATGTTCGCAAGCAAAACTTTTCTTTCAATAAATGAACTTTAGTTTAAACTGTATTTATTTAAATAACAAGTAAAAAAAAGAATGTATTCAAGAATATGTCATCTTAAAGATGGAATCGACAGAAGTCATTGCACCTAAATGAACTTTACTCCGAGTATTTTCATTATTTCATCTCTTTCGCTTAGAGCAAGCCTCAACTATCATATACTGTTCCATAGAGAATTTCGCGGGCTACAAAATGGGTATATGTACCGTTCCATAGAGAATTTATATATGATATATGACGTGTATATTGCACAACACATAATGTATGCTTTAGTAGAGAAATAGAAGCTGCTGAAATCTTGATTTCAAAACAATAAAGTAGTGAAAATTTAATATCATTGTATCGACGCTATAAAAACATATCATTTTAAGGATTTTTCTCTATTTTGTCCGATATAAGTAAGTCATTTCGATATTTGTTAGAAAAGCGCGAAGTGAGATATTACATATTAGTTCGTGTTAATTTTGTTGCGTTAACGTTTGTTCCCAGTAACACAGATCGAACTTTTTCCTTACAAATTTAGTATCCTCAAGATTTACTTCGATAAATAATGCAGTACGGACAAGCCAGTAAACGATATTAGGAAGAAAGAGAATAGTTCTATAATGAAATACATGTCCTCAGCTCAACGGAATACCGGTTTATTTGATAAATAAGAATTTAGTATTTTATTATTTTACTTTATCAATGCCATCAAAGTCGGAACGTACACTATTAGTTCCATTTATAAAAACTCAACTATTTGACTCGATTCAACAACATTTGCCACATGAACCAGCCTTTATTGATCAATCATTTTCTACTAATTCCAAGTCATTAGGAGATTTAGTTTCATCTACATTAAACATCATTTGGAAACGTCCGAAAGAGTTTTGTAATAACCCAGTCTTTACAGTTAATCATGTGCGAAACTTTCAACCAAACGAATCATCCACAGAGACAAATGTCTTTATACAAACCGACATAGTTATCCAAACTCCACGTATTAAATCACCTAGACAAGATGATACTGATTTCTGCGTTGCAGAAGTGATTGCTACAACCAAAAAATCTTCGGTGGATTGCAATTCAACAAAAAGATACTCGTCATCATTGAATGCCGACGTACATTCAGTTGATTATTTTTATACAAAATCGAATGATATTTTGTCACCATTTCTAACCGAATTACTATGTGTGATAATGGTTTTGAAAGAATATTCTGGTTTATACACGTACATCATACCACCAAATCAGATGTGTGATTCTAAAATCTATCATTTTCGTTTATATCGTTTTGGACAATTTAATGATGTGTGTATCGACAATTATTTGCCCTTAGTTGAAACTAAAGACACAACTAAACATCGTTTATTAGGTTTGAACAATGTTAACGTAGAATTATGGTTGCCATTATTAGCAAAAGCGTGTGCAAAATTTTTTGGCAGTTATTCCGCATTAATAAACGAAATGAATAACTTAAAATTATGGAAATTGTTTACTGGAAGTATTCAACAACAATATGATATACCAAAAATTTCAACAACTAAACGACAATCGTTATTGTCATCTGCTCAACATACATCAGATTTGAGAACATCAAAACAACTATTGAACAATGAAAATTTATATTATCAATTAAAATTCTCATGTTCGAATAATCGTGCACTAATCATTACAAGAATCAATGATGAAATTGATACATCATTGGATATGAATCAAAATGCAACACTTGCCAATAATAATCTATTTCAAAAAGGAATCTATTACATCATTCAACAAGTCATACAATTAAATCGTAAACAAGATTCACAATCCATTTCATTATTAGATTCAGCATACACCTATGATGCAACTAGAATTCGTCAACAAATTCATAAATTCCGTTATCTTCAATTATTTAATACACAACGTACAAGACCATTTCTATACAAAATTGAAGATTCAATAACAGACGATTATGATATAGAACGTGATTTAAATTTATCGAAATTAAAAGACGGTGAATTTTGGATATCTTACGCAATGTTGTTAAAATACTTTGATACAGTAATAATTTGTCATATATCATCGGATGAATTTGTTATTGATTCTAATCGATATTATTTAAGTTCAACATTTGAATGGAAACTGTTGCAGTTTCATGGCCGATGGATTAAAGGTATTAATAGTGGTGGAAGTTGTATTCGAAAAATAAACGATAAATGGTCACATAAATCACAATTAGATATTGAATGTGATTATTTTAGACAAAATCCACAATATTGCATATGTATCAGTAAAATAAATGAAGAATTTTTAACTCAAAAGCTCGTATCAACGCCAAATTATAGAACACTCACTCCATTTATGAAGACAGGAGTAGCACCAACAACACTCACTAAAACGCAATCAAAATTGAATAACAAACCAGCAACATTGAGATCGTCGACCGATTCAACATTGACTAATAAAAATTCACTTCTTATTAAACGTATACAACCGTTGCCTACATTTGAGCGAACTGTTTTAATTTCGCTTACACAACAAGCTGTTTATCCTCAATATGCGAATGATAAAAATCTCAGGTATCGTGTTGAATAGTTGAGGTCTTTTTCATCAAGTTCATCTAAGCACTATTCCTTAAACATATTCAGTTTAGAATTCTGTAAGTCTCCATTGGAATATATCAATGTTCAAGTGTTTCGTATTCGATCTACAAATGCGTCTGTAAATCCAAACATACGATTTTCGATGGAACAATTAACACAAGTTGCATCGAGTGGACCATACATAAATGACGAAGAAGTGATATTAGTCTATAATATACAATCGGACGGTAAATATCTTATTATACCAAGTATAATTCGATCAGATATTGAAAGAAATTATCTCTTACGAATTTTTTTTGATGATAGTTTAAATATTTACGATTACTGGATTATTCAACAGAGTGTATACGGTAATGTACAAGTTGAAATACCAGTTTATGAACAAAAACGTGACTGTTCGCATAGACATGATAGAAAACAGCTAAGATAAATATTCTTGAATAAATTCATTCAGATCAATTGATAATGAAACGAAAACAAAACACCCTCTATGGAGGTACAAATACAGTGTCGTCATATTTACTATTACAAAACTCAGCTAATTTTATTGTACAAACACAATTTTACAGAAGAAAATACAAAAAACTCATAAAAACAGGGAAAAACTAAAAACTAATCTGACGTAATGACTAATTTTTGATTAATTTTTTTTGCTTTTTCCTTTGATCGATGGTGACCAACGTATCAATTGTGGATCGACTGATAAAAAACGTTTATCGCTTAACTCTTGGAGTTTTGCTTCGATAACACGCTTTGATGCACATATATAATTTCCGTGTCGCCAATATTTGACGAATCCATATGAACTAAGTGTTTCTAGTACGTTTTCATTGTTGATACCAGTAATTGAACTAAAGAAGAATAAATAAATTGAAATATTTCCACTAACAATAAGATGAAAGAGTTATAACCAACCTCAACTCATTCACTTCTCGTTCCGGTTTATCTTTTAGAGCAGTCAACAATGACCATGTCCAATAGCTTAAATATGCTTTATAGCCTAAATCGGATATCGGTTTTTCTGGTGTTCCGATAGTTCCTTCTAATTTTGTTAACTCATAACCTTGAAAAAAGAAAGTAAGAAAAATGTGTCTTGATACATCAGAAAACAAGTGTCAAAAAATATAACTTACTAAACTGTATCAACAGTTTTCCGTAACCTTTACGCTGATGATGAGGCAAGCAAAGTAAACACGACAAATTGAAACCAGTTGTCGAATCTTTCTCCTAAAATGAAACAAAATGATAAATTTATTGTCTCATAAATTAAAACTATTTACCTTAGAAAAATATCCAATAAAACGTTCTTTGTTTTCATTTTTTTTGAATTCTGTCAACACATAGAATAGAAAATCTGATACATTATAACAAATAACTTTATGTTCAAGAAACAATCGGGCTAATAAACATAAATTTTGACAATAAAGCTAAAATGATAAAAATAACAAAATGTTCAATCATTTTTTCCACCATGCACTATACCACAACGGACAGAAAAGACAAAAAACTTAGTTTCAAAACAAAAATGAACCTTATGTTTTGCACCGTTTATTTCATAGATAGCACAACCAATCGATGGATCTCTGTAAATTTCTGTACCAGGAGGACTTTTTGCTTGACATTCGGCCTAGAACACATCAAACGTTAGCTATGGTTTAATACCTATCACAATAACAAAACTCACTAGATGTCGACGGTATGTACTGAGTAAACGCATATATTTCAAACAATGTTCACATATGTATAGAAGACGTTGTTTTTCGTATTCGTCTAAAGATAGAATATCATCATCATTACCATTCATTATCCATCCTGCTAATGACAATCCTCTAACCTGGAAATGGGGAATAATACCAACATTGTAATTCATGATTGCTTATCCAAATCTTTTCAATGTATCTTACCTATTGAAGTGAAAACAATTCAATTCAATGAAAATGTAATCTAAAATAAAATAAAACTTACGTTGATTTTATGATCCTTTCTGGTTAGATCAGCTGTTTCAAATGAATCAAGTGACAAATCATTGATGTCCTATAAACCAAAGACGAAGAATGAATAATTTACTATCATTCAGAGAAACACAAATACGCATATACTAACGTCATTTAGATTGTTATTTCGTCTTGATTTTAATTTTCTTGTTCTTTTTTGACTGTAACTAGTTAGTGAACCATTGCCAACGGAGTGTTGTTGTTGTAGTTGCTGTTGTTCATTAGAAATAAATATTTCTTTATCGGGTGCTCCTTTCTCTGGCAGTAATCGATCAATCGATATCCATTCATCATTTCGATGATCATCTAGAAAAACAAAGACAACACTGATACAAGAATGGTTCATTTTTTCTGAGAGTTAAAATTACAGCGATATTTTCTTTACAATTAAGATAATGAACAAAATATTCAATTGTTTGCTGATCAATGGCATCGTCAACAATTCGACTTTCCAAAATTTCAGCTGCATCTTTAACAAAAAAACAAAACAGATCATTATGAGCGAATTATCAGTGAAAAAACTTGACTTACGAACTATTCCGTTTCTCATACGAGCCAGAAAAATTTCGCCTTGTTTGGGAGTAGTGTCGGAATTTGGATACTCCATTGCACAATTAGTTTCTAGAAAAACATGAAAAATAAGAACGGTCAAAGAACTAAAACAATGACTTCAGTCGCTGATCACTAATTTACACATCAAAAAGTGCTTCAAATCTAAGATAAAAACATGTTAAGGTATTTTGAAATGAAGCAGCTTTAAAAAATCGTCCAACACTCTAATCAATCAGTGGAAATTACCTTTTTACCGATCATCAGTATTCAAATCACTAAATACCAAAGCAATCGATATCATAAGAATCCGTTAAGGGCCCTCCCCCTCAGAAATGGTGATTTTCGTTCAAAAAAATCGGTTTTGAGATACGCACATGGAAAGATAGCCTGAAGTATCTATTTTCAGAATCTGTATCGCTTTTGGTTACAAAACTGGTTTTTCGGGGATTTTGAGCAAGTTTTCCAAGAGCCTCCAAAAAATCGGGTCTTCAAATAATAGTTTTTTCCTGGATACTTATGCAGTTAAAATTTTTCTGAACACACAGATTTGTAGAACAAACGTTTCCAATCAAAATAAGACTTTCCACAACTCTTTATGACCTTGCATCAAAAAGTTACAGGCATTTTCCTAGAAGTCCTAAAATGGAGTATTTCATACAGCGTTTTCTCTATATAAGATTTACACCTGAACTATTTCCTAAGATTTTTAATAGTGGTTTGTCGTAGAGAGTTTATTCTTTTTTTGCTTAAAAGAGAAGAAACTATATGGACTGACCGGCGCCGATTTTTAAATTAGGTCTTAGTTTTTTGTCAAATTGAGGATTTTTAGGAAACCCGGAGGGAGTTTTCGGGTTTTGGAGGTTGTTTGTTGCCTGGAAAACCAATAAAGGCTTAACTGAAAAATCGGCGCCGGTCGGTCCATGTGGTTAGGTGTCTAGTTTAAAATAAAACAAACCCGAACTCTCCAGCTTGAGGTATATTTAACAATCTTGGAACACACTTCAGAGTCCTTTTTGGACCTCGATCTCTGAAAACCTCTTGAACGGTAAGACTTGGAGACAAAAAATCTTTTTAATTCCCGTAACTCATTGTAGCTAATATTTATGGAAAGTTTTGTCAAGCTCGGATGTCGGAGATAATATCTGAGAGGGAGCCCTTAAACAAAAAAAAATAACAGTGCATAATCTATTCGCTCTCAGTAGACTGAAGAATAGACTGTAGGTTAGTTAATGTATGAAAAGTGAGAGTCATCAAAGGTCCCCGACCTGTAATAACAATGGTCTGAGTCAAACTGCAAAATGAAATAGGAAAAAAGAAATCAGAAATAAACAAAAGGAAAACGAAACTAGAGTATGCAACATAGAGATAAAAAACCGATGAACTTAAACACGTAAAAAAGCTCCCATGACTTTATTATGACTAGAAACATGACTGAAATCACTGTAACAGATAACCCTACAAAGTCCTTCCGAAAGACTCAAAAAACAGCAAATCACAGACGAGCGTTATGTAGTTTGAATTTGCCGTGTGACATGTCATTTTTTCTACATGTGCTATAGCACCTATCAAAAATAATAAATAAAAAAATGTTTTAAATTCCATAAACGCGTATCTTCAAACTCCACTTTGTAAGCTAACTTTTTCACAACGTTCGAAAGATATTTGCATTCTACAGAGAATTGAATTATCTTATATGAATTGTCATTTTTATTCAAATCCATTAAGAAAATAGTAGTTGGAAGAACAAATAAATAGAGGTCGCGCTAGAGTCACTGATCGCATCAGGAACCAGGAGGGTGCCCTAGTCGAGACTCCTGATTAATCTCCCGCAGGAGTCCTGGACAAAAAGTCCTACAGGAGTCAGCAGGAGTCCTGTCACGGGATCCCGGCAGGATCCTCTGTGGAGTCATGGAGGATTTTTAAGGGATTCAAGAGGGATTCCTCAAGACTCCCACAGGAGTTCTATGGGA